ACGGAGCTCAGAAACACGATCCGCTTCTAACAATGGTCGCGGCCAGACTAACCGATGCACGTGAATGAAACTTTGTGTGACGGTAGAGGGAAGTCCAAGGGTCAATGCCCTACCCTCCTCTTCGTCAATGACGTGGCCGGAAATGAGTCATAAAAGTAATCCGGGTTCTTTATTGTAGCATCTGCAGTGTTTCCAATGTATTTTGTCTAACCCCTGTAGAAGTAATGCACCCAAAACTATAATTACACTATTATTTGTAAATCGTTTGATTTGTTTTATCTTACTGCATTCAATAAACATTTACACTGATAATACCAGCATTCTTTTACTTTCTGACAAATATTCAGTACTGATTACTTTTAAGCAAGACTGAGCTGCAATGTGGACCAAGGATAGTGTAGTCAGTACAGTGACTGGCTATGGGCTGAACAACCAAGGGGTCAGAGTCCCGGTGGGGTCAACAATTCTCACTTCTCCATGTCCTCCAGACGGGCTCTGGGGTCCACCCAACCTCCTATTCAATGAATACCGGGAACTCTTTCCCAGGGGGTAAAGTGGCTGGTGAGTGAAGCTAACCACTCATCTCCAATGTGCTGAGGTCAAGAAAAATGTGGAGTTTATACATCCACTCCCCCATATGCCTTGATGGCATAGTGCTTAATGAGTTAAGCACATGAAAAACTTTAGTTTTTTTTTACCTTCAGCATTCTGTCTCAAAGTAGCAAATTACCATAGCCTGGGAGAAGTGGATAACAATGTCTTTATGATACTTAGGGGGGGGGGCAACTATATTCAGGTCAACAGCCCTTAAAAATATATGATGTGCATAAAAATTGACTTTGTTACAAACCACAATTACTCTGGGGTTCTATCTTGTGGGACACACCACCATTTAGTCCAGTGAAAGTCACCCAAGAGTTTGGAGGAAAAACTGGCCTTCATCTTCTGGGTCGAAAAGTAAGCCAAGCAGAAAGCCAAATGAACAGGCAACGAGCTGAGTTGTAGTTGCTGCCTGCTTCATGCTGGTTTCATGTTTGGCTTACTCTTTGACCTTGAAATTTGAGGCAGTATGTTCCTCTAAAATGTTGTGACTTCCACAAGATTTTACTGCATTATATCTCAGAAAGTAGCACTCTTCATAACCACTAGCATGAGAACTTCAAATCCTATATCCTGTGAAGAAAGCTATAAAATTTGGGTTGAATAATAATAAGACTTATACAAGACACACAGCAAAACCTCCTAATTTAAAACATTGTTATGAAACATTATTGTTAAAAGTACAAACTAAAGTCAGAAACATAAATGAGGGAGGCCAAACATTTCATGCATGATTGTTCTTGCATAAATTAAACTGTTTCATACAGCTTTTGCTAAAATGTACAAATCACAAGAATCTGAAATGTACATGCTAAGAATGGGTAACACATATGAATACCTTTGGAAGCTTAGTACATGCAAAAGTTATGAATGGAAATGTAGCAGGAACTTTTGTAACATAGTTTATTACACCGTAGTGCAAGTTATCCCAAATGAGAAAATAAAAATTTGCTAAGAGTGTAAGCAAGAGAAACTTAAAATACTGTAGCAGACTGCTGCTCATACGTGTTATACACTCAGATCTGGAAGTAGCTAGTAACATTAGTGTGATAAGAGTTATGTTACATTAGCTGAACATTTTCACTTTAATGCTATTTGAAGGACCCACACTATACCCACAATGACACACTCAAGTTCTCCTTCAAGCCATGGTAGCAAACCCCAGAATCTTCTGTTTCCCCCTTCCCTCTCTGCCCACTATATTTGATCTTCCTTTCGCTTCCCACTTCAACTGGCATAAGAATGTTTGAGGTTAGGTCACAAAACATGGCCATTCTGATTCTGAGGTTTGCAATGAAATACACAAGCTCCAGCATCTGGCTATACTTCTTCATGGAGATGAGCTTGTCAGTTTCAGATTCTGGGGCCTTGAGGTCTGGGACTGATCCCTGTGGAGGGAGGGAAAACAGCAGGTGGGCTGAAGCTGTTAAATTATGTCTTTGCTGGTATTTAAAATCCTGTTCACTGCTGGGAGATATTTTGGGTTTCTCCGGTATATGTGCACAGCCAGACTCATGCCCAGTATTATTTGTACTGTCAGGATTTTAATGTATTTTTATTTTATTTCTGCAATCTACTGTTTCCCTGGAATGAAAGACAACAGGGCAAGAGAAGGGGAGAGGAGCAGATAGGGTTAACAATGTGTAGGACCATCTGCACATTCATGTCATGAATATGCACACTATACACATCACTTGTGATGGACAATTAATTAGGTTAGTACAATGATCTTGAAAAGAGAATGTAAAACAAAAGGAAAACTGCATATATTTCACCAATTTGAAGGAATACACTACCTTATCCTTCTCTCACCCATACATACATGCATACAAATTCTCTATCACTATTACTATTGATTCAATATACAGAAATTAAAATGTGCACTTAACAGAAATACTCTTGTTAATGTAAGATCTGTGATATCTTTATATACATATAAGGATCAAGTTGTATTTGGGAAAGGTAGCAATAAAACTAATTCTCTGTTCTTGTTTATAAACATGTTATGATTCTTACTTTAGACGCCACAAATATAATTACATTCTTAAAACACTCCCATCAATATTTACCATCATCTTGATCAAAGATTATAAAACGTCTGGAGGAAAGATTAAAAGAAAATTAAAGCAGAATTAAGAGTAGAGGTAGCAAACCTCAAGTTCATCAAGGCTGTTTCTCTAGGTTATGATGCTGTGTACTCCTGTGGGTGGTTACCTCCATTTTCCTGCTTTGAAGATTGAGACAGTTGGTTCCTCCAAAACACTAGTAACCACTTGCATGACTACAGTGCATTATAACTCAGAACACAGTCTCAAATTTTCACTAGCATGAAAACCTCAAATTTCATATTTCAGAATATGTATTCAGTCACTGAACAGATGATGATGATAATGTTTGTCAAAGCCTATGTTATAATCAGTCTCTAAAATATTTTAATAATGTATACATTCTAAAATGACAATCTTGATGATTTCTGATGTGTGTCAGTGCTTAGAGACAAGTTAAATAGGGCAAGACACACATGACATTTCAATAAATATTACACACATGTATTAAAGAACAAAATAAAATTACAGATGCAAAACTTCCAAATATTCAAGCGAACTTTGATCTTGGTCCATGTAATGAGGCAGGAATTTGTGAAATACTGCTTCTGTAATACCATCTTGGGCGGGTACACGCTTTTGTAACTTAGAACTAGACTATACACTCATCAGTCTTGTGAAGAAAATTAATGGTAATCTGTGCAACAGATAGAAGCAACTGAAAACAGAAACTGCAGAGAAGAATCAACTCATGATTTTCTCAATATAATAAGACTCAGAACTAAAACTATATATATATATATAATTTGTATAATTTATGTATCACAGTTGCCCTTACCTCTCAACCAAAATGCAGATGAACAGTGCTTTGTGGCATTCTTAAAGCAGTTTATACCACTGGACATTCTACCACTTAAAATGAGAAGTTTGTGACTTTCATATGCCATTATAACCAATCAATATATGGTATACATGACTCATCCATAGGAGATGCTTTGTGATCTTGACTCAATTGCATTCCCAGAGATAACACTAGAGGACATAAGTCCATAGCCTTTGTACTGAACTAACTTCAGAACTTAACACAATTCCAAGTTACCCTTTCCTTTACATATTTACAGCCTGCAATCTTACTTTTTATTTTTTTTCAGAAAGCGATGACAACTGTATCACAATATATTTTATTCTGATTATAAATATAAAAATGTATATCAAAGAGTCTTTCAATATATCACTGTCAGTTCTTTTGGCATGACTTAAGTTCAATTAATATTGCTCAAACATTACAAATATTAAAATTAATAAAGTGGGTGGCTTACCTTTGACACAATTCTAAACCAACCTAGAATCAAGTATCATATATAGGAAGCGGATGAGCTTCTGAATTGAGTACATATTTATCAAGGCTGAGTATGTGTGGATCATCACTGAACAACAGGTACAAGTACTTGAGTGTTTCGCTCAAGAAGAAAGATTCCATCATGTCCCGTGGACGGGTGTTTACAGGATTACGAACATTGCCAATAGATGTATAACCATTCACAACTTTTGCATACTTCTCAAATGCCTGTAAAGGTGTAAAAGCATTAGATTACATAGCTACATACATGTATCAAATACAGAGAACTTTCATGTTCATTAGTACTGTAATGAAAAACTGTGAGGCCAAAGCACTCAATGTAATGCAGATTAACAACTTCCCACAAGTTTGCCAGTGTGTTTGCTTACATGTACCAGTTAGCGGCCTCCATAGTCTAGGGGTAACGTTCCCACCTCATGACTCAAGGTATGCGGGTTCAAACCCAGCGGAGGTCGTGGAATTTTTAAGGGAAGAAAAATTCAGGGAACAAGTCCCCCAGGAGAGACTTTAAACCGTGGGTCCCGTGTCGTAGCTTTACGGCATGTAAAAGAACCTCATGTCCCAAGGGGACCACTGAGCCAAATTGATCGGACATTTCCCGCCCAACAGTAGTCTCTAACGCCTATGATAGATGGGGAAAGCATCGAGAGATACCGCTGAGCCAGTACAGGCCGAACTCGCTGGCTGAGTCGGGACTGATGGCACGCACCAGTATCGGTAGGGTATAGAGACTGGTAGAATATCACAGAGGGGACGTACAATAGACCACTGGTCGCGGTGCATGGGGAAACCCACTCCTCCAATAATAATAATAATAATAAAAAATACATGTACCAGTTCACTCAGATACATACAAAAGCAAAAATGAAACAAATCCCTTTCAAAATCCACAAAAAATGCTTCAGAAACTGGTCAAATTTTGGCACTAATTCACTTAATGAAGAGGTCAACACAGAACTAAAATATCTTTGTCCACGAGTCACTGTTGAATGCATTCTCTGTGAGTTACATATGTTATTAAAATAGGGGCCTAAATTTTGTAGGCAATTTCTATCTATCACATTTGCCATGTATGTAATCAAATACTGAATTGAAATAGTAAAGTAAAAAGTAAAGGTATCCCTGTAACAGGCCATGGATGCCTATAGGATTGCGAGATGTTGAGGCTCCCACATTTTCTAGACAATTGGCTCACAGATGGCGGTGAGGTTGTCAGCCTTACATGCTGGCCACCCTTTACCCCCAGGAATATTGCTGGTACTCATTTCTGTTAAGAGGCTGAGTCAACCCCAGGGCCATAGTGTGGCTGGAAGAATTAGGTAAATTGAAAAAATCCACCTCATTGGGATTCGATCCCGTGACCTTCTGGCTTGTAGCATAGTGTCTATGGAAGTGAAATATGTTTCAGAAAAGTTACAAATACTAACGATCTCCCCACTTCTTCCTGTCTCTTTCATTTTCTCACATACAATTCTACACATGGGAAAGTACTGTTATTGTGAAGAAAACTGATTTCAAGATTCTGAGAGTTGTGGCTGAAAAAGTGGTTTTCAAATGTATGTTACATACAGACATGTGCCTTGCCAGCACTTGAATAGTTCGACAGATTTTATTCATATGCAGTATTAAAAAGTTTGCCTCTCATAGGTCAGTGCTGGTGAATATGAGCAGTCTGCCTCCAAAATTTAGGGCCCATGAAATGGATCCCAAAACACAAAATTGCAATTTAAGAGAGAGAAGAGAGGAGGAGGCTCTAATGATTTTGATTAAATTTCAGCAATTTACGGAGATCATCTCCCTGAATAAAATTGTATATATGGTACCTTAGACAGATTTAATTGCTGTTTGATATTCAGTAATTAGCAATGGTCTACTAAGCAACAGTCAAATTCGTTTCCAAGGGAACAATTATATATAAGAAAGTACCGTATTTACGCATGTACAGGCCGCGTGCGTGTATAGGCCGCAGCACAATTTTCAGACAGAAATTATAGGAAAAATAATTTTCTTGGAATATTATTTCAGGAGTAGAAATTATTCCGAAATATTCCGAATATAATTCTTTTTAAATGAAGTGTGATTTCAAATATTTCAAATATAAGCCGCACCCCAGTTTTCCTCTTGAATTCTGGCAAAAAAATGTGCGGCCTATACATGCATAAATACGGTATATGCAATGTCTATGCACCATTCTTTTTTTTTTACTAAACTCAAACTCTGAAGAATGATAAGAAGAATATCAGTATGGTAGAAAGAACACTAACACATACTCTTTTCCTGAAAAATGGTTATACAGGGTCCTTCTAAACTATGCTGTACTTCTGAAAAATCAGTTTGCTAAAAGCTAGCAATGAGGCCACTTTCCACATTATGGAAAAGTAACCAAACAGAATGTCTCAGAATATAGGAAACAGAAAACTCATGTGTCCTTGGACCATGAGCAGCATATAGACCACCTCTGGAGGACAGATTGGATGAGCAGGGCCAATTCCCTGGTCACCTGATTTGACTGTAGCAGACTTTACGAGCACAATACAGACCACCTCTGGAGGACAGATTGGATGAGCAGGTACAATTGCCTGGCCTCCTTGGTCACCTGATTTGACTGCAGCAGACTTTCTCCTTGAGGCTACATCATGTGTGAAATGTATCAGTCCCTTCTATCGCAAACCTTTTACAAACTGTGAGCAACGACTTTTGCACCCCTTTGCAATGGTTAGTTAGTTAGTTATTTAGAGAGGGTGGGTTTCCCCATGCACCGCGACCAGTTTTGATCTATTGTGCTTCCCTCTATGATATTCTACCAGTCTCTTTACCCTACCGATAAATGGTGTACCATCAGTCCCACCAAGCAAGCGAGTTTGGCCACTTGCTTAGCGGTGTCTATAATGCTTCCCCCATCTATCAGAGGCCTTAGAGGCTATTGTTGGGCGGGAAACGTCCTGGAATTTGGCTCAGTGATCCCCTTTGGGGATATGAGGTTCTTTTATGCGCCATAAAGTTACGACACGGGACACACAGCTTAAAGTCCCTCCCGGAGGACTTGTTCCCTGAATTTTTCTGCCCTTAAAAATTTGATGACCTCTGCCGGGTATTTGAACCCGTGTACCACGAGTCATGAGGTGCGAACGTTACCTCTAGACTACGGAGGCTGCTTTGCAATGGTTAAGATGGGACATTGTCTACACTAAGCAAGGACACTACACAGACATTTGTAAACTGGAAAATGCAGTGAGGAATGATACGTAATGTTCACATTTATAACTTCATGCATTTCTGAAAGAAAAATGTTCCAAACTGTGCCCTAATTGAGAAAGATCCTGTATAACTAAAAGAAGCACAATTAATGACTTTGATAACTGCATTTCTAACATACAACTAGCATTATTCAATTTTTGTTCTCAAAAATAATCTCCACACAAAATCATAAATCTTAAAAACATTAATCATTTTCCCAAACCTGTTATTCCAAATGAGTCTTTAAGAATAAAAGCTTCAACAAGTAAGTACTAGAGAGGCTGGACCAGGACCAAGGTGGGATGAAGAAACATTCTTAAACCACAGTAATTAACCTTTAACGGCTGAATGTTATATATATATATATATATATATATACGCAGCAAGCAGCACCCCAAGTTCGCCGAATGTTATATATATATGCAGCAAGACACGTGCTCTCTTTGGGAGTGCTCACAGTTTGACCTTGGGTTTGAAACCAAAACAAACCTATGTAAGGTCATGTCAGTGGTTCATTCCTTAGCTCTGAACAATGAAATCGTTTATCGCGGTACTGGTTTCGATACTATTTATGTTTAGATATGACTGTTTATGACCTGGTCAGCCAAATATAGCCCAGCTTTGTTTCGAGAACTGATGAGGAAATATTCATCGGTGCTTGCATATGAGTGCTTCTAGAGCCTTCAAGGAAGTGTGCAACATTCAAGGATTGGTTTTCAGTGGCGAGTTATCGGTCAGGAAGTCAGTGTCGGATTGTCTAATATTTCTTTATCAGTTAAAAAGTCAGTGTCAGACTGTCATATATTTCTTTGTATATCACTTTTATTTTGTGTCTTGGAAGAGGTCTAAATCCACTGAGTCAGTATTACTTTGTGAGTAAAAGGCATCTTCGTCACTGTGACTTTCAGTATCAGTGTTGGACTGGCACTCTTTTCGACTAGTATTATAATTACTTTGCATCACTATTGTGCGAGTATTACTAATAGGTGAGAGTGTCACTTTGTTAATCAACATAATTTATTCGATTTTGCTAGAAATCCCCCCTTCCCCAAGATGATTCTTCAATCGCACAAGCCAAATATCACAGTCAGTGGCGTTTCTCGGGGGAAGGCCAAAGTTATCAGGGGGCCCAACTGAGTTGACTGGAGGTGAAACATTCACAACACTGGCCAACGAAAGGGAAACAAAGACATTGTCATGTGTTTCGCTAAATAAGAAAAGCATGAGCACACTCTTCTATTGTAAAAAGGGTGATGTCGCTCTGTGTGAGGTGGACTGCTTCGAGAAGTGCCACGCGCATCAGAGTGTATCATAAACTGTGAAGTGACGCAGTTCAAACTCGTGTACAGTCTGAACAAAATATTATTGTATATAGTGTGATTACATTTACAATATCACCATGACTCAAGGTTGAAGAAAAAACAACGGGTAAGTCCTTTGGAATTTCATAACATATATAATAAAGATTATATTTTGCATTTCATGACAAAATAATCACAGTTAACTTTCGTTTGTAAAAATTGCTCTTTTATGTATATGTAGAAAATTTTATTGTCTTTCAGGTTGTTTTTAGTTCATATTTCTATGTTGCACAGAACGGAAAATAGGTATTTTTTTCTGAAAGTTTGCAATGTTAATTAATTAATTAGGGCGATTTAAATACTAGCCGCAGAGGGCTCCCGGCAATTTAAAAGTCCGTATGTTAAAGGTTAAATTACTGAACAAAAATTAAGGTGAAATTAACCTCAGAACACAAGTGCAGTTCTGGCTTCAGCTCAGTCTCTTTACCTGGAAGATCTGCCATCCCCAGTCTTGGTATGTTTTGTTCCCAGTGATTTGGTACATATACCACAGACTTTCAACAAATTCAGGTCTCAGTAGGTTATGAGCATCATTAGTTTTAACAGACATATCACCAGTTGTTCTTTCCTATAAGTAAATAAATGAAAATTATACATGGCTTCCTCAGTTCCTGTTATATGGTAGTCCTAGGTAGCTGAGAGGCATTCAGCTGTTAAAAATTCAATCTACTTCACTCTCATATAACCTATTTCCATTTTAATTCTATCGCCCTGGATAAAACTGCAAACTGGTAACATAACTGATGGATATTTTAAAATATAATCTTTCTCTGTTGATAGTTAATATATACAGAATCGGAAGGGGCTACTGAATGGTCCCCAGTGGCACACAATTTGAATAATACATATGCAACAACCTAAAACCAAGTTCCATCTTCCTTACTCTGCAATCAACCAAGAGCTACAAATCATTATCTCTTTATCAATATCTTCTATAAGTCATGATATTTTCTCCTATGATCACAATTATGTAATTACTGAAGCCCATTCCTCTTAATTATAAATACTGTGTACATTAATTATTTCTTTTTAGTTGGTCTCATTAAAAAAGTTCACTGAATGGAGATATAAGATATTTTACAGCCACATTTCCAAATGGTTCCTACCCTTATTCAGGGCATGTGGGAGGCAAAATGAATGTTCTAATTTTGGGAACTTATCTGAGCAATGTGCTGATGGACATGGGCTTTCGAATTAAGCTAATTTTACTTTCAAACACCTGCCACCATATGTTTGTTGTTACCATTTCATTCCAAAGAGTATCAATAATTCTTATGTTTCCCCCCACCCCTTGGCACTACAGCCCCAGTGGGCCTAGGCCTACCTCCATGAAGTTCTCTGTTCACTTCGGTTTTTATAGATCTTACACATTCGATAGGACTGCTTGGGTGGGTGATCAGCTCATCGCAAGGTCTCTACCTGTACACAAACACAGAAAAACGCACACACACAAACTAAACATCCATGCCCTGAGTGGGATTTGAACCCATGATCCCAGTTTCCAAGCAAGTGAAGACAGTACATGCCTTAGACCACTCGGCTACCGTGACCGGCCTAATGTTTATATTAACCGACATAAAACAAGGAGCATTTTTATCATCAGACCTGCTGGCACTGTTGTACAGTGGTAATCTGTAATCTTTAACACACAAAAAAGTTTAACATACGATCTGCCTGCGTACTTTCACCAAAATATATATGCCCAGTTACAACAGTTCATCAGTTATATTATAATATAATACAAGATTATTATATAATGGAACAATACGTATATATTTTATGCAGTCATTATGTTGTGCATCTTACACAAAATGACATGTTGACAAGGGTTGAATATTGATTTCCTTTTGGAGGATAATCATCACACAAATTTGCATACCGTACATCAAAGGCACCAGACTTACTAAATGGTATTTTTGTCTGGTTGCAATTTATTTAAACAATGCTGTCAATACCTTAGACTATACAGTGCCTAATGACTGATAGCAGAATAACAAACTGAAGGATGTGGAGGTACTACCCCATCATTTGCGTGGAGGATCCAAGGACACCCATAGACATCAGAATAGTCAGGAATACAAGCCAGATGCATTACTGGTTGAGCCAACTTGTTTGGTAAAATTATACTGCTGATAATTGGTAATTAAGGAGTACAATGATGGTGGGGACATGCAGCATCATGACATTGTATCAGTTTCATAACTACTAGTTCAAAACTTATTAGGAGGATAAGGATCATACCATATTAACTTCCTTATACATGAACTAAGTGATTTAAAACAAAAGCTACAGAGCTCTGTAAAGTTAACATGTTACTTATCAGACATTCTGAGATAATCAAATAAACACCGAATATATAAATGGAAAGAAAATAAAATGGTATTTATAATAAGTTGACTGCCTTTTATTCATAAAGATACAGGTACTCCATGATTCAAACTCTAACTGCATCTGCCAGCTTACCTGGATATTGAAGTATGTAATCTCTGGTGCTAGAAATGTTGGCTGTTGAGCATACATCTGGTAACATGTGGTCATAAGTTCTTCAGCAAGTTGCATGTGTTCTTGTGGCAAGCCATTGTGCACCCCCAGTGCAAGAGTACCAGGTAAGTAACAAGTTAAATGATCCTAAAAAAATAATGGTTCAGTAATATTAAACTGCTCTCAGATTAAATCTTAGCACACTGAGGATCAATACTACTTCCACCTCTTAATACTGTCCAGTTTTAAGTGGAAAATAAATTATACCCCTTAAAATGACACCTAAATTATTCAAATGACTGTCCAGGAAACATTTAGTAAGCTTCATCAGTTATCACTATTACACATATGACCTCGCTTTTCTTTTTGTGGACGTCGAACAGATACTCTTCAGCTATTAACTAAATAACTTTTATTATTACTATTCCCACTACCACTACAGTATTCAATCTTTCTCTCGTCAGTTATTTGTATTTGGGTTGCAATCGGTGTCTGCAACTCATTCTTCAATAATTTCGTTTCTACAACTAGCAGTTATTTATACTCTTAGTAAATAGTGGCTTGGCTTCAATTTTAATATTTCTAATCTTATATATAAGCTAACTTTGAAGTACTGAACTATCACAGTGCCTAAAAAAGGTCAATACATAAATGAAATTAGGTAGTACTAACAATAATTGAAGAAACTGAAAAGAGTACAGGACATTATAATGAATCAACAGACCTCGTGTATTCATGTATTGAGGCTTGTGGTTGCAGTATTACATCTAATACATATGTTTGTAGCCTCTGAGGATTCTGTATTGTAATAAATGCAATTTTTATTCTAATGATTTGAAAATTAACTGCACCAATAGCATTGTTTCATTAAAACAATCCACCATCTCTTCATCTTGTCCAACATTAAGTACAGATGACTACTATAGCAAGTGTCATGTAACTTCAAACAACGCCAAGAGTAACCTTGAACGCATAGAAGAAAAATTTCAGACAAGGGGGTGGGTTTGAGGATGTGAGAAGTGACAGGCGGCCAGTTGTTTGTAAAGCACCCTCGAAGCAGGTTATACACGGTTTTTCTATCATCTGTTTAAAAATGTCAATTTCCTTGTGCACTAAATCGTACATAAGGAGTAAGAAATTAGGTCAGGGTATAGGTCTACACTCACAGATGAAGCAAGTAATTGTAAATGTATATAATTACTTAAAGAGACTAGCAGATAGGCGGCTGCTGTAAACTTAAAGTCAATCCAGAAAACAGTATGTGAAGCTACAGGAATCGGCTGTACTGCACTGAATGAAATTATTCGAAAAGAAAAGAGCTTAGAAGAGGGCGCTTCCTTTGACTTACCGACCAAGAAACGTAAGAAGGAGAAACCTGTAACGGAAAGTGATCAGTTTATAGAAGACACCATCAGAAGAATGATCTATGACTTCCATAAAACAGAGGGCGAAAGAGTTATCATGCCCAAACTTCACAAAAAAATTGTTAAAGACCTAAAATTTGAAGGAAGTCTTCCTAGTTGCAGGAGAATTGTTCGCCGGCTTGGTTTTCGTTCTAGAAGGATGAGGGATAACAGAAAAACATTGACTGAAAGGCATAACAGCCGTCCTAAACGCCTGCATTATCTGAGGACAATCAGGCAATATCGCAGAGAAGGTCGGCCTATTGTGTATGTCGATGAAACGTACTTGCACAGTAGCCACACATCATCATACTCCTGGGATGACTCTAAACAAAACACTCTCCTCTCCTGTTGCCAAAGGTCCACGAGCAATTATTGTACATGGTGGTGGTAAGCAAGGTTTTGTGGAGAAAGCTTTGCTTATTTTTAAGTCAGGCAGAAAAACTGGAGACTACCACCACGAGATGAATACTGGAAACTTGGAGAAGTGGATCCAAGAAAAATTAATTCTAAACTTGCCTCCAAGAACAGTGATCGTAATTGACAATGCAAGTTACCATAATATTGAAGTAAACAGAGCGCCAACTTCAAATACCAAAGTAGGTGAAATGAAACAGTGGTTGACAGAACGGATCATTTCGTATCCGGCTTCGTCACTGAAACCAGACCTGTACGAAATAATAAAAAAACACAAGTCAGATAATAAAGAATATAGAATAGACGCTATTTGTGCTGCTGCTGGACACTCTGTGATACGTCTCCCACCTTATCATCCGGACCTTAACCCTACTGAGATGGTGTGGGGCACTGTTAAAAACTGAGTGGGCCAAAGGAACGTGACATTTCAGTTGGACGATGCAATGCGTCTAGCAGAGGAGAAATTTGATTCCATTTCCGTCGAAGACTGGGCAGCATATTGCAATAGAGTGGAAAATCGAGAGGACCAGTACTTTGCAAGGGAAATGAATATCAACACCAGGACAGACAATATAATCATCACATCAGATAGTGAGAAAAGTGAAACGTCAGATGAAGACGATGAGTAAATAAGAGATACAAGGTATGACCAGTTTTAATTTTCGTGATATAGACTACATTTCTAACATGGACACACTAGTTAATTCTACATGTGCTTCCATGACGAATGGCTAAATTCATTTCTTTATTACATATGACTATTATATTTTAATTTTCAAAGTATAAATTACTAATACACATTAAAAATATTTTTCTTTGCATGATGAGTGACAATATATTTGTATTATTGTAATATGTTCTTCGAAAAGAGAACAGGGTACTTTCAATGAAACACGAGGGGTCAGTGAAAGTGGAAGAACGAGTGTTAAGAAACTCCTCCCACCACAAGCTATGCGAGGGATTTGACTAGGAATGCGGGGTCTTGTTCGAAGTTACGTGACAGTCTATACTACAACCACAACCACTATCATCTAAATCCACTATTGTTTGATTTTAACACAAATTTCAACATTCATCTTAAGGTGTTACTCCTGATTGGCTACCATGAAGACAATGGGATATAAAATTTTCACATTCCTTAACTTTCATAAACTAAACCAATTAACTAACTCTAAGGAATGGAACCCTTCTTGCTCAGCTAGTCAAGAAATTTCCCACCAACGGCTCAATTTCACATTCTTATGTCCCTGCCAACACCTGTCCTGAGCCAACTGAATCCAAGTCAGCACCCTCCCTGTCTCCTTCCTTTATATTTCATATTAAAATTAAACAACACCAAGTTCATATTAATAATAAGTGCCACACATACTGAAGGAGAAAATATTAAAGCACTTGTAAAATTTGTATATGAAAATTATGATCAGAAACTTCTTTAGGCATACCATTTTTGGTTTGAAGTCCCTTCCTCCAGCCAGAAGTTCTCCAATAAATAAATATTTATTCTGAGCTGTTCTTCTTGTTAGATGTTTCATAACTCCTGAGATAGCTTCTACGAAGTCATCTCTTAAACTGAAAAATAATACATTAATGGCAAATTGTTCTCTTTTGTGTTACTTAAATTATGACAATACATTTCAGAATCAGATATCAAAATTAATCTTAAATTTCATCAGATTTTATTTGACAAACACCCCTTTTGAAGAGAACACTAACATTTGTTTTGAAGAGTGCAAGGTTTATTTCATTATTATACATATATATCCACAAATTATTTGATTACAGCTACCATTTTCAATTTTTGTACTGCAATAATAAATAAAAATATTCATGATAATTCTGTAATCGTGTTTATTTTACTTGTATGATTTATCCTTTATCAACAACATAAGCAACTGACAGCAGTTTTGTTAAAATATACATATTAATCATCTTGCTATAGTCCACCCTGCATTTATATTAAAATAATATTTTGTATTTTAATATAAATGCAGGCTGGACTGAACCATGATGATTACTAAAAAAGATGCAGGGAACTCTGTGAACCTATTTGTGAACCTGGAATGCAAGAAGCTGGAACTTAGAACGTGAGCTGACATGCCACTGCATTAAAAAGTAAGAAAAAACTTGGAATGTATGGTGTACAAAATGTTATATTAATCTATAGCAAAATATCTGACAATGACAGGGCATAATAACAAGTAACAATTATTTTGTGCAAAAAATGTACTATTAGTTAGACTTGAAGAAGCCTGCAGACGAGGACAATGATCATCCCTTGATGTTTCTGCCAGGGCAAGTAATGTTATGATAAAGCACCTTAAATTATTCTTTAGTAAGTAGTTACTTTTGTATCTGGGAGGGCTCAGCTCCAATTCTTAGCCTGACAACTATTTATCCTACCTGATTTCTTGGAGTTCTTACATTCCTCAAAGCAAATGCTTTGATAGTGCCTTCAAACAGGCTATGACCACTTCCTTTCACTTTTCTCAATTCACTATTCAGAATCACACTAACCTCATTCAAAAAGCATTTATAAATAAACCAAAACTCAATCAAAAATTGAATAAGCTTTTAATTTGTAATATGCAGTCAAAGAAGAAGTTACAGATGTCCATTAACCTTTACTGCCTGGAAAGACAGACTATAAAATCTATGAGTATAGCAGAGCTACAAAATTGGAAGTAAAAGTTTACTGACTGGGGACAGAGGATTTTAAATCTCCTTATTTTATAGGGCCTGTAGTTGTATCTTAACCTGGGGATAACTGTGCAACACTTCGAAAGCTGGACAGCACACTTGTACAGTTACAAAAATGCAAAGCACGGTCGATAAAGGTTGAATTTAACTTCCTTATGAAAGTAAATCACAGCAATGACCTCTGAAGATAGCTGAGGTCACCTGGCATGTTTAGTAAAGTTCTCAAGAAACAACTGATGAACCTTTCATCATTGTCGTCATTGTTGTCATCATCGTCGTAGTCGCCATCACTGTCATCTTCATCGTCGCCATCGTCTATATCATTGTCGTCATGATCATTGTTGTTGTCGTCGTAATCATCATCATCGCTGGCAAAACAGCCCTTTTTGAGCCATAGCGTTCCTTAGAATATTTAGCCAAATTTGTCTTGAATTAGACCATGAACTTTCCAGTTCTTTGGATTTTGCAACAATAATTCTTTATAGAGTAAGGTCATTAGCCTTGCATCCAATCCCCAACCTGGAGGACTAGGTCTCTGCATTTATGTCCCCCCACGTCAGGGTGGCCCACTTATAACCACAAGCACCAGGTTCACTTTCTGTCACCTTCTATGACTCGCAGGCCTATGGTGGTGGTATTCTAACCTGCCAACCTGCCTCCACATGGGGATGATGAACCTTTATAAAATGGAAATAACTGTTACATATGAAAAGTAACATTACAAGTTTGTAAACAGGCTGAAGACAGTAAACAGTTTGAATTTCAAGGGATATATACTCCCTGTTTTATACACAGATGTACTGTATGTATTACTGCACATTTAGGATTTTATGCTACTTTAATTCTTACATAATAACTTATAGTTTATTCAGCCTGTATCCATTGCTTCAGTAGGTTTTCATTTGTTGGTTATTTAACAACACTTTCAGTATTAAGTAGATATTATATTGTAACATGGATGGAGCAACAGGAAGTAGGGGTCACGTGAACTCTGCGTTTCCGCGAGTGACATCATGTACCCCACTCCTACCATCATTACACAATGCTCGGTGAACAACCCTCCCACCCCGTGGCGACGTAACAGCATAGGAGCCACTGCCACTGCTATGGTAACAGGCCAGTCAACACTCAACACTCTGCCCCCCACCATGGTGACATAACAGGGGACACCGTTGTTACCACGGGGCAACAGGGAACAGTATAAGAGGCTGGCTGAGCGGTGTGTGAGCCAGTGTGGATTGTGAAGCCAGACAAGAAGTGCAAGTCCAGCAGTCGCTGAGTGCAGTTGAAGTCCAGCAGTGACGATTTGTTGTTAAGTTGTATCAAGTGAATGGATTCAAGCCAGCTGAACCCAGTAAGTAATTGTGATACTGCAGAGGGCAGTACTTGGGACACTGTGAATTGTGTAAGTGTAAGAGCATGTGTTCAATAAATTTGCTAGATCCAAACCAGCATGAAGTTATTTGTTGTGTTACAAACACCCAACAAGTGACAATTTGGTGTCAGAAGTGGGATTACAAACTTAAACATGCCTCAACGAATAATTGAATTTACAAGTGCATCGACTATTATACTGCCACAAAATGGACATACAACAGATGATGAACGTCTGTTAGCTGCCCAAGAAGAGATGAAGGCCGATAGGAAGAAAGAGAGGAAAATAGAACCAACCAAAGACGGAGGCTGGGCATAAAGCGTTGCTAGCCATGATTGAGGCTGACCGAGAGGAGAGGAGAGGATAGGAGAGGAGAGAAGAGTCGGCCAAGAAAAACTGTGAGAGGAAATAAAAGCCTGGCGAGAAGAACTCTGCTCGATGCGGTTTGAGACAAAGGATACCCGAAAAGAGACTACGGCCTGCCATGAAATGGAGGCACGTCTAGAAGAAGAGCCAACCTCAGTGGACATGAAACCTGAGGTGACAAAACGACGAGAGGCCCCCATAGAAGACACCACAGTGATGCCGGTCAGAGAACCAAAGAAGAACCGTCCTAGGGACCGAAAACTGGCCACAGAGCGCCGCTGCCAGGAACCAAAGGATATGACATGGGATAAGTGTGGATCCCAGAAGAGATTGGCCGTCTCTCACAGAGGGACGAGCCACCGTGTAAAAGTGGCACGGCAGAAGGAAAACGTCATTGGGAGAAACTGCACCATGGCCGTGATTGAGCGAGCAAACCAGAGAGTAGGGCCACTCAAGAACTACGACGTACCATAACAAAGGATTGACGCGCCAAGCGGCCACTACACGGGATGAAGAAGAGGACAACCACGGATGGCATCCAGAAGTGTAGCCCAGGAGAGCAAGCTTTTCTGGGAAGCGGAGGAACACTAAGGAAAATCTTATATGAGATCTACAGTCTGAAAAAACACGAAACAGATGCCCAAGGCTTCCAGCAGGATGCGGAGAATCATGAACTGGATCTTGTCGAGGGGTTGACCCCCTCCAAAACGAAAAAAGAAGCATGAAACAGAGGAGGAGCCGTTAACGTAGCATCACTGGTCTCCCAAGCAAGAATGGATGAGGAGAGAATGAAAGTAAGGAGTGAATGTGATATGACAGATCAACAAATTCTGGACCATGGAATTGCTAGGGACAAGCACCTTTGAAGAAGGGGAGCGGGGGTAGTGCCCCGAAGACAAACACACACAAAAAGAAAAACGGGGATGTACCGTTAGGCTGTTCGGGACGAACAACCTTTAGAAGGCAGCAATGTAACGTGGACGGCAGAACAGGAAGTAGAGGTCACGTGAACTCCGCATTTCTGCAAGTGATCTCACATACCCCACTCCTTCCATCATTATGCAATGCTCGGTAATCACCCCCCGCCCATGGTGACGTAACAGCATACGAGCCGCTGCTATGGTAACAGGCCAGTCAACACTCTGCAACCCCCCCCCCACAGTGACATAACAGCACTTCCCCGTGACATATAACAGGGGACACCGCTGTTACCACAGGGCAACAGGGATCAGTATAAGAGGCCGGCTGAGTGGTGTGTGAGCCAGTGCGGATTGTGAAGTCAGACAGAAGAAGTGGAAGTTCAGCAGTTGCCGAGTGCGGTTGAAGTCCAGCATACCCAAGTTGTTAAGTTGTATCAAGTGAATGGATTCAAGACAGTTGAACCCAAGAAGTAATTGTGATACTGCAGATGGCAGTAATTGGGACACTGTGAATTGTGTAAGTGTAAGAGTAAGTGTTCAATAAATTCGCTAGATCGAAACCGGAGTGAAGTTATTTACTGCATTGCATACCCAACATGTGACAATATGTATGGGCGCACATAAGAATTTTGTGCCACTTCCGTTCTTACTTACTAATCTATGGTTTGTCCAGTCTGTATCCACTGCTTTAATAGATATTCATAGTAACTGTCACCTCGGGCACCCAGAGTAATTGTTGAATAAGAGCGGAAATGCCCTGTGTTGGCATTGATGAAAATGGGAACAAGACCTTCAGACTTTTCCAGTCCATGGACATGTAATGATACTTTGGCTGCTGAATCCTGTCAACAACAGAGAATTTGTATGTACATTTTTAAGAAATCTGATCATTTCTTTTAAACTGAACAGTCACTTACTTACTTACTCATGGAGCTGAGCCCTTCCTGAGGAGCTGCCAATTCTGCAGCTACTCAAGAATTTCCCAGCATAGCCAGATCAATCCAATCCATATCATCCCATCCTATATCTCTAAGATCAAACTGAACAATCAACATTAATTAAATCTGACACAGTTTAAAACCCTGAAATTAACAGCAAAGCACCACGTATTTAACTACTGTGCTTCTTACATAAAGTTATCCCTGGACTTAACTAAGCACCATGCCAAGCAAACGTATGAGGGAATGGACGTACAGCTCCTCACATGCTTAACCTTGGTACTAGGTGGACATGTGTGGTCAGCTTTATACCCTGACCACTTTACATGTAGGGAAAGATCCCCCTAGTACCCACTGGGTAAAAAGACGCGTGGGCACCAATGCCGGTCTGCATGCTGTGGACAGGAAAGAAACACTCTTGCCCCTTGCCAGGAACTGAATCCCAGTTACTTGGTTGCCTAGCCTATAGCTTCATCATTATATTGACTGCAGTATCCCAGCTTTTATTACTGAATAAAGTATAACAGTCTCTGATATATATATATGAAATGGAGTTTAGTTTTTAGTATGTATAACTGATCCTGCATATACTGGAATAAATGCATATGTATACATACGTATAGTAAAGTCCATACAGGTAAACATTTATCTGATAATTTTCCTATCCAGAATGGTACAAAAAAAGGAGATGCTTTATCACCACTGCTTTTCAATTTTGTTTTAGAATAAGCCATTAGGAAGGTCCAGGAAAACCAGGTGGGACTGAAATTAAATGGGACATGTCGGCTGTTGGTCTATGCTGACGACATGAATCTACTGGGTGATAATTTAGATACCATAAAGAAAAACACACAAACTTTAATTGACGCTAGTAAGGAGGTTGGCTTAGAAGTAAACACAGAGAAAACTAAGTATATGTTGCTGTCTCGTCACCAGAATGCAGGGCAAAATCATGCCATAAGGAGAGGTAACAGATGTTTTCAAAATGTGGTACAGTTCAGATATTTGGGAATGACTACAATAAATCAAAACCTGATTCAAGAGGAAATTAAGTGGAGACTGAATTCAGGTAATGCTTGCTACCATTCAGTCCAGAATCTTTTGTCTTGTCTGCTGTCTAAAAAAAATTAGAATATACAAAACTATAATTTTGCCTGTGCTTCTGTATGGGTGTGAAACTTGGTCTCTGATATTAAGGAAGGAATATAGTTTGAGGGTGTTTGAGAACAGGGTGTTGAGGACAATGTTTGGACCGAAGAGAGATGAAGTGATGGGAAGCTGCAGAAAACTACATAATGAGGAGCTTCATAACTTGCACTCTTCAAATTAGAATGATGAAGTCAAGGAGAATGAGATGGACAAGGCATGTAGCATGAATGGGGAGAAGAGGAATGCATACAGGATAATGGTGAGGGAGCCAAAGGGAAAGAGACCCCTATGAAGACCAAGAGGTAGGTGGATGGACAATAATAAAATGGGTCTTAGAGAGAAAGGATGGGATGGTATGGCCTGGATTGATCTGGCTCAGGATAGGGACGAATGGAGGGCTCTTGTGAACATGGTAATAAACCTTCAGGTCCCATAAAATACTGGGAAGTTCTTGTGCAGTTGCACAATTCGGGGCTTCTCAAGAAGGGCTCAGCTCCATAATTGAGTGACAGAAACTGAAATATAACCACTGAGTCTGACTCACATCCTTAGCACAAGTCTTCCTTATGTGAGTCAAATTATGAAGCTGATTAGAAAGAACTCAAACCACCATCACTATGATTAAAAAAAAACCACCACTATCCCACACCTAGAGCCAGTTTAATCAAATCCACATCTTCACACACTATTCTCTAAGTTCCACTTCAATATTATCCTTCAATCAATATCTGCCTAGGTCTTTCAAATGGTTTCTTCCCTTGTAGTGTCCTAACCATGATTTATGTATTTCTTCCTTAACTGATGCATATTGCATGTCCCAAACTACATAATTCTTCTTGATTTATTATCTGAACAATATAATCTGAAGCGTACACATTATTAAGTTCCCTGTTCTGTAATTTCCTCCATCACAACAGTGCACTGCAGGGATGATAAAGGTTAACAACTGTAAGTGGGTTTTTAGAAACATTCATCATAGCATAGTACACCAAAATTATATTTTATGATGGATGGAGTCTCCTTTCATTTCAATGGCTGCAGAAACCCACAAAACACACACTGTATTGTATTGTATTGTATTGTAAGATTTGAGGTTTTCACAGCAGTGACTACGAAGAAAGCCATCTTTAGGGATGCGACATCTGTCTACACAGCGCTACATCCCAGAAGATGGCTTTCTTCATTATGTGTATATTCAGAGAACAACATAGCAGTACAAACACAGAAACTGAATCCCCACAAATAATAAAACTCTCAAGTTGAAGGCACTACTTACTTCAAACTTTGGATCTCCTGTGCAACGACTGAGATCACGAAACTCTAACTGGATTGTTGTGACCTCTGATGTGCTGCTATCTGGACTCCACTTTGGTGAGTGGGCTTTACGAGTAGCAAGGTTTACATCAGAATATGGTACTCCAGAATCAGAATCAAAACAGGGAAGCAACCGTGTTCCCAAATCTACCTGAAAAGTATTCTTTTTTCAAATTAATTCAATAAATTATAAAACTCCATGAACTGTGCCTGTAATGGTGTGATCTGAAATATAATACATGTTTACATACCTTACTGACAATAACTGGATCAAAGGGACAGACAGAATGATGACCCCTGTATCTCAAAATACATTCAGAAGCTGGGGTTAACTCTAATAAGAAATACTGGTAGTAAATCTGTGCTTAATGCACTTAGAGTTTCCTTCATGTGGTTTTCAATGTCACGGTTTACTACAAATGTTTCTTACGAGTGTCAGGGACATTAATAAATTTAAAATTTACGACATTTTAAATGTCAGTGCAATATTTAGCTTTAGAGAAAAGAGCAACTAGATTTTACATGCTTAAGCAAATTCAAGATTATATATGTATGGATTAACTGCAGTTCTCTTCAAGACGCTAATATTTCAAATTTTACTGAAATTATTAAAATATTGGTCATTTCATCTATGGAGTTCCCATGTGTTGCTGTATATGGACTTTCGTTTCAGTTCTTAATAATTCTATCAATTCTTTTTTAGACAGTTTAAATCTACAGTGGTACTAAGGTAAGATTTAGGAGTGTATTTTTTCAAAATACGAGTGAAATGTGTTTCAGATGGCAGACAGGGAGCAGTCTCTGAAGAATGAAGATTTCTGAATGGTCTGTTGGCATCCTTATTCCCAGTGATTCTTTGTCTGGAAAAATAATTATGGTGGTACTTGTGAACCATATGACATAAGACCACTTTAGTCTTTCTTACTACAACATCTGATGTTCCATACTAAAAACATATGATATACTGACCAATATGCAATGTTTTTTTTTTTTTTTCAAAAATGCTATTAAATATTATCGATAACAGAGTTATTATTTTTAAGGGAAATGTCAGTACTGCATACCATCAAGAAGAGAATCGTTTATTCCTATGGTGTCTATTCCTCCATACTGTTAACTACAGAAAAAATTGCTGGTTTCCATGACAGGCAGTACAAAGCGCATGTCACTGACCATTAAATATTTTTATTTCTTAGCAGCAGCATTACCAATATGGCAGCTGAGAAAACTTCTGCAATAAGTATAACATTAGTGATCCTGAAAACTACCTTATGCTGTAATAGGTCTTTGAAAAATATATAAGATTTTCTTTACAAAAATTAAGCAACATCAATTCACTAAAACATGTATTTACTTTATAGCTTGGTATCAATTATCAATGAGACAAGACATGTGAATTTCAATAATTAACAGATCAAAAGCATTCCTACAAATTCTGTATAAATATTGCTTTTATAAGTTAATAAGGATGTGGATATTGGGTAAAAATAATTTTCTGGCTTATTTTAATTACCAAGCTGCTTCATGACACTTTAAAAATATTCTCTTAGTTATTTTACTGTAAGTGCTGCAAGCCACTCTAATGGAAATAGATGCTGTAAATTCTGCCTAATTTAATTTTTAAAATTAAGCTTTAAATGTAATTTCATTATTACACTATTTTGGAAGTTTGTGACATCTGAGAATATAAAACTCCTTTACATGTAAGCAAACTGAAAGCTTGCCAACATGCCTCTTGACTATGCTATTATGACATATATTGGGTGTACAAGCTTCATACTTTTTAGCTAAATATATGTGAACACAATATATCCAAACACAACATTATATTTAAAGAATTTCAGATTTTTAATTCTTTCACATTAGCTCTATATATTTTCCCTTGTAATACCATGGACAACAGAGATACTAAAATGCAACATAGTTTCTCTATAATAAGTATACATAAACAAATACTCATGCTCTTCCCTCATTACAATTTCAATAATCTTGGTCTTCGTCTTCTAAACCACCTACCGCAATACATTAAAGAGATACCAGCATTATGTAAATTTAAAATGACTTTGAAAACATTTCTATTAAAACATTGCTTTTATAGCATAGATGAGTTCCTCTCCTATGTGGACAAGACTTAGTTCACATTAGGATCATATAATAATTTAAAAGTAAGAACAATTGAGCTTAGCTTAACACACACTAGGAGTGTATACTGCGTAACTCTCTTCTTGCAGGAAAAAACAGCAGGGACTATGGGATATGGAGCCGAGGCGGTGGGAGTGGTGCTGCTAGAAACCAGTGTATCTGGGAGGTCTTGTGACCGGCCAATTCGATCAAGGTTTTCCGTGGTTTTCCTTGGTCCCAGAGCAAATGCTGAGTTGGTACCCAAATTCCACGTTGCACTGCATGCTTCACATGCATCCCCCCCCCCCATTGGTAACATCATGAAAGTTATTATACTATAACTACAGAAGAATGACATGTCTTATATCATGTATAATGATCCATGGACACGAAATAAATTAAATGAAATGAAATTATGTCCTTTAGGCTGTCTGAAGTGAATCTACAGCTATGATGGAAATAAACTTAAGTACAAACAATATGTAACAAAACATGTTTTTGTATTTCCTTTCTAATTTTAGAATTCATGTTTCTGCTGACATGTGCTCAGAATCTTACCTTATTACATATGGAAAATATGGTAATTTGACAAACATATTACTTTCAGTCTAAAAAATACTCACATCAATAACAATAATACTCAAAACATATACATTAAAATACATACTGCTTTGTCAAGAAACATTCTGTCTCCCGAAAGGTGATATGAACTCAATAAACTGCCCAGTACTCGGATCGTTACTTCAAACAGATTCACATCTCGATTCCCATCAAAGTGGAGACTATTAGCAACCCACTCTCTTGCTTCTGCAAACTCTAATAAATGAGAAATTGCATTATAACAAAGAAAAACGTAATAATAGGCAAAACTATTATATAATACCATCAAAAATCTCTGGAACAGAATTTTAAATCTGCAAAGGTAAACAAATTATCAGATCTCTGTTAATATTCCACACTACACAAATTACATTGAAAATTTCATGATGTTTAGACTGTCAATGTTAGCTTTAAATTGATAAGACATCTGTCGAGGCTGTGGGTGAGGGAAGTTACAGAACTGACATCAAAGAAATTACACCAAACCGAGAAATAATTATGACTTTTCTCATGCAGCTCTCTTCAGTATGCTAAGACACAGTCAATTATAGTGATGAGGTTTACAGTGATAGTTGTCATTGGAGGGGGTGCGTTTCCCCATGCACTGCGACCAGTTTGATCTATTGTGCGTCCCCTTATAATCTTCTACCAGCCTCTATACCCTACCGGTACTGGTGCTTACCATCAGTCCCTACTCAGCCAGTGAGGTCGGCTTCTACCGGCTCAGAGGTATCTCGATGCTTCCCCCATCTACCAGAGGTGTTAGAGACTACTGTTGGGCGGGAAATGTCCTTAATTTCACTCAGTGGCCTCCTTTGGAGACATGAGGTTCTTTTACATGCCGTAAAGCTACGACACAGGACCCACGGCTTAAAGTCCCTACCAGAGGACTTGTTCCCTGAATTTTTCTGCCATTAAAAATTCCACGACCTCCACCGGGTTTGAACCAGCGTACCTTGAGTCATGAGGTGGGAACGTTACCCCTAGACTACGGAGGCCCCTCTACAGTGATAGTTACTGTCCTAAATGATAAGGGATTTCAATGTAAATTTTTCTCATTCCAATAATTCACTATCAGATTGTGAGGGAATGGTGCTTTCTGACACATTTTCACCACATGGTGGCCTGAGAGATAAGCCCAAACCACCAAAATGAAATCATATTTGCAAAAAGCAACAAACCTTAAGATATTAATCCTATGTGCTCATTTCTAAGAGCTCCGCTTGGGACTCAACAGATTCTCCAGATGCCAAGAATTGGAAGCTGGATATAACTTCATGCAGGTCTCCAAATATATACTATTTCAACTGTTTGTTGTAGATGGTAGAAAGACATGAATAAATCTCGAAGTCGAACAGTGAATTAAACCTTAAATAGAACATCCTGAATTGTAAATCTTCAAAGACTGTAGAAATCATCACAGCCAATCAACCTGACCTCAACAACACATATGTAAACACACCTATCCCCACAAAATGCCCTTCTGAAGCTTCCAGTTATCTTATGCAGGATCCCCAATCTCCACCACCTCATAGCTTATCATGGGCCAGATTCAATGCAATGCCTTCCTCATGGTCATAAGTTAACTTCCAAGGTATTTCTGTTACACTATTTGATCAGACACATAGATGCCATCTAAAAAGCGCTGTAAAAGAACAAAGAATTGTNAGATCCAGTTTCCAAAACGTCGTGTTTTTCTTAGTTATCTTAAAAACCAGGACGATGGATAAAGTCTGAAAACCCAGTATCTCTGTGTGTTATACACCATCGTCAGAATCTTATAGTAAAGAATTGTACCTTTGTTCTCCTGTTACAATGTTTTGCAACAACTGAAAAACATTATTTAAACAGTATGAGTCAAATTTTTAGTTCCGTTCAATGAGGAAACACACAACCCAAACATTTTTTGGTGAAAGGCCGAAGAGATAAAGACCTTACCTTCTTTAAGTCCCATTATGTAAATAGTATCAAGAGCATCTACAATAGTGAGTCCAAGATTGAACCAATCATGAAAAGTGCCAGTAATAGGTTTCAAATGATCATGTCCCCAAGCATATTTCTTGTAACCCTTCCAGGCATGCCTAAAAGCTGCCACAACTGCAGCCTGTCTTTCATTCGTAGAGCCTTCAACAAAGAGAAATAGTCACTACTTTACACATTATTAATCCATTATGATGTTATCGCCAAACATTCAGGTACCATGGATGGCATAAGTTCCTCTGCATGGACACAATGCAAGACGCTGACAACTGCAGCACTCATCTGTAATGTCCTGCATTGCCAAAATTGTTAAATCTTCACAACAGTACTATTCCACATTGTTTTGGAAGACTGAGGAAAACCATGAACATCTTTTGTAACTAATCATCAGAATTGAAAACTATAAACCTACTCTGCCACTCTGCCTACTATTCTGCCACTCAGGTATGCTGACTTGATTATTGTTCCTTCATTTAAATCTTACTTTGCTTACATACTTGTCCCTTTCATTTGCTTGCATATAACTTCAATCTTACTCAAATTACTTAATCACTGCAGGTGGTCCATGCAGTTACACAAAATAGGTCTAAAACACTTACACACAAGGGGAGATATCTTTAAATATTGGTCAAAAGAATACAATATATAAAATGAGACAAATTTCATTCAAAATGAAATTTACCTGAAAATTTCACTCCATCCCTTGGTGGAGAATGAACCTGACCCACATTATTATTATTTGCTGTTTCGCCACTTAAGACTAAATCTTCTTTATCTAGCATGGGCTGCTTCTTCTGAGTATTATTATTTATATGGGCCTCCTTCGCAGGCTGCTCTTTATCCAATGAATTATCAGGAGGTTGTGCCTGACAAAGACATTGAAAACAATAATTGCAATCAAGGCACATAATAAAACATGAATTAATAATGCTATCATGAGAGAAGACAATTTATTGTATAAAAGTGTGTGACGATGCTACATTAATAAAATTACTGAGATTTTGCCCTGCATTTCATTAAAAGCAGCGTTTCAGGGACTGGACTCTATCTCCATCCTCAGGTAAAAGCCTATTCAGTTGATAAGACCAAAAAGTTTGTGATGATAGTATATTATATATAATCATTGTTTCTGGACATTATCTACTGCTCTGTTTTAATCTAAAACATGAAATGTTTTGTAGATTGGGTTCCATCTCTGTCTTCAAGTGGAACCTCATCTGGTGATAGGAACTAGCTCTGTTGACTGGGACCAACTAAACAGGTTCCACTCAAAGATGGAAACAGAATCCAGTCTCCAATATTTCGTGCATTTTAAATAAAAACAGGACAATGGATAAAGTCCAAAAGTACAATAATTCTATTCAGTTGGGTTTGAAAACTGAATAATTGTATTATAAACACTTCACTGTATATACAACATGCCTAAAATATGGTTAAGAACACATGATAATTGTCATTTATGTGGACTGAAAATTTCAATCCAAAACATAATCTGGAGAAAGTTAATGTTCTAGAACAAATTAAAAGCAGTACCTTTTTAGGAGAAAGTAATGAGAGTGGAGGTGTTACGTGGTTTCTATCTAAGGCTATATTTAATTTGCCATTGCTTGGATTCCAACTGGGATGAGTCGCAGGAAGGAAGTACAATGCTGCAAAACATGCTGCTAATATAAGTATGTAGACTACACTCCGCTGAAATCTTGACAGTTGGTTCCACCACTACAAAAACAATGGAAATCCGTTAGGCGCTCATTTATGATAAAATCAATTTTTACTTTGGAAACAACTCTTCGTATGTAGTGCTAATTTTCTATAAGTAAAAAAGTAAATGTAAAGGTATCCCTGTAACAGAGATGGAGGCCCATAGGGTTGTGAGACGTTGAGGCTCCCACATTTTCTATACATTCGGCTCATAGATGGCTGTAAGGTTGTCAGCCTTACGTGCCAGCCGCCCTTTACCCCCAAGAACATTCCAAGAATATTCCTGGTACTCATTCCTTTTAGAGGGTGAGACAACCCCAGGGCCATAGTGCAGCTGGAAGGATTAGGTAAATTGAAAAAAAAAAAAAAATCCAACGACTTCATCGGGATTTGATCCCGCGACCTTCTGGCTTGTAGCATAGTGCCTCAACCAACTTCACTACCACGTGCTAATTTTCTATATTGTGCTTTAAAGAGACCTTTTGCTTTCAGTCATCCGAAGACTCTCTACATTTGAAAAAATACATGTTTGAAGATTTAATTTTTTGACCAGAGAATAACCGTCAATTACTCAAGACAGATCTTGTACCACGGAGTAATCTACAAGTTATTTCTGTAATTATAACCTGTTATCTTTTATGGCTTAGTGTACAGCGGTATAGAAATATGGTTGCATAGTCAGCATTTTGTTTGGGAACTAATTTCCCACTTGCTATTCAGAAGTTGGCTTTTGCAATTCTGACAATCTCACCCACTTACTTGTAGCAGACAGAAAAGATGAACCACATCCAAAGATATTAAAATCAACATAAACTCTGATAACAATTAATTTATTTTTTAAACTCTATCTTCCTTCCACTGTCTTACATCTGGCATTTGGGTATTTAGGGCAAACAGAAATTAATCTTATGCCTCCACTGGAGGTGAGAACCACAATAAGATACAAGAGAAATACTGATCTAGTTTTCTAGCAACCAAAATATTTTGCTACCAGATTCCCAAAACATTTTCAACCCTCGTTAATATATATTTAAGAATACAGATATGAAGGTTCATTTATGTCTTCCAGCAATGTGCTATTTTCAACTGGATGAACAGGGAATTTCATTCATCCACACCTGCTCCCTGTACAGATTATTCTGTCATATTTGTTCAAAGTCAGAACTGTAGGGCCAGAGAAACAGCTATTGCTAGCAAATGGCTCTGAAAACAGCATCTGTTTCCAGGCAATGGTCACAAAACGGCCAATGGAACAACGTCCATTGCTAGGCAGCAGATTTTTAATAAGAAAGAACAAACGGCCACTGCTAGGAAAAGGCTCAGTAAATATGTTCCAGCGGAAATGATTAGCCTACAGGAATGAACAGTGTGTTGCCTATGTGGGCAGTGCCAAGGGATTATAAGGAAGACAACTGGGGCAATCAAGTCAGTTCTGTACAGGAATCTGTGAAGAAAGAGTCAGGTGGATGGGAGCTGCCATTCAGAGACGACTTCAGCATAGAAGCTGTAGTAACTCCACCGTTAGAAGCCATTACCAGTAAATGGCTGATGAAAACACGACAGGCTCGAAGAGTTTTTAAAATTTGGAGATTAGCGATAGTGATATAATTACTTGTAGCTCTGAGTTGTGTAGGTGGACAATAAATCCAATCCAAAACTCTTGTCGACGGTCACTCATACTACGTGACAATATAATCAAAATTTGATCTGGGGCAGAGGAGTATAAAGATATGACAAATTCACTTGGATGAATGAATACTCATGGAAAATTTTAATTTTTGTGTGGGATTCCAGGTAAAATTAATATATAAACTAAGAATGAAATTCAGTTTTGTTTTGTAAGCTTTAACCATACAAGTCAATTATGTGTACCACTGTTGGGGGCATGTGGTAGCGTAGTTGGTTGGGGCACTATGCTACAAGCTGGAAGATCATGGGTTCAAGTCCCAATGAGGTCACTGGATTTTTTCAATTGATGTAATCCTTCCAGCCGCACTATGGCCCTGGTGTCGACTCAGCCTCTAACACAAATGAGTACCAGGATTATTCTTGGAATGTTCTTGGGGGTAAAGTGCGGCTGGCACATAGGGCTGACGACCTTGCCGCCATCTATGAGCTTATTGTCTAGAAAATGTGGGAACCTCAACATCTCACAACCCTACGGGCCACCACAGCCTGTTACAGGGATGCCTTTACTTTTTTTACTTTATGTGTACCTCTGTTAAATATTTATAATGTAAATATGTTTTGACGGCTATTATCGGCCATTTCTTTTTAAATAAAGCAAAAAATTAATGCAACCAGCATTTAGTACAGAATTTTATGGATGGCTAGCAAGGCTCATAAATCATGGAAATTTGAAGTAATAATTTGACTTACACTGAATTTAATCAACTTCAAGCATAACATACATACAGCAAGTATTATACTCGATAAGCATAAATACACATGAAAATATGAAAACAAATACAACCATTGACAACTCGCATAACTGGGACACTACAAGTTAAACACCAGTACATCTGCAGTGTAGTAAAAAAAAACGTTTTTTGCTGATGATACTAGTATCCTTACAGCAGGAAATAGTGCTAATGGAAAATAAATAAAACAATGAATGCACTCACGGAGTGGTTTGAAAGGAAGAGACTAATTATTAATAAAGAAAAAACAATAGCAATATCCTTTCATCAACCTCAAAAAGTGCAAGTCAAATGCCCATCAGTAAAGCTCTATGATACAGTCATCAATTATACAGAACATACAAAATTTTTGGGAGTTTGGCTGGATAAGAATCTAAGGTGGTCTGCACATACTCAACAACTAGCAAATAAATTATGTAAAATATGTTTTGCGATTCAGGAAATGCAAAATTGATCTTTAGGTTGCAGAAAAGAGCTATTAGAGCTATGATATAAATCCTGAAAACTATTAGTTGTAAACAATATTTTAAATAGTTACATATATTACCTTTACCATGTCTGTATTACATAAAAAACAATCTGAATGTTTTCATAACCAATTCAGGAATACACTCGTACAATACAAGGAGAAAAGATGACTTGTTAATGGTGCCACGTAATACGAGTCTATACAAAAACAATTTAAACAATATTGGACTTCGTATGTTAAATCAGTTGAAACAATATATTAAAGAGATACCAGTACTATACAAGTTCAAAAAGACTTTGAAAACATTCCTACTTGATCATTGTTTCTATAGTATACATAAGTTTCTCTTGTTTGGGGGCAAATTCTAGTTCTAATCACTTGTAAACATATATTTCAAGAATAATTAACTTGTAGATTTTAATATTAGTACATGTTATAGCAATGCCTACTGACCTGTTCTGTATTTATTTTCTTACAGGAACGAGATCGAGGATACCAGGGTATTTTGTGCCGGGATAGAAGGATCAGGTCTTGAGGAGTACAGTGGTGTCATGTGTTAAACCATTATTTATTAGAATCTTCATTTTATCATCATCTTAGTATATTATTATATCATTATATTATTTATTACATTATTATTATTCTTATTTATTGTATTGTAAAGTATTTGACTGGTCCTATATCATGTATAATGATCCATGGATATAAAATAAATAACTACATATGTCTATATTTTGCATTCTGTTGTGCTACAACATCAAGGCCCCAGTATTCTGGCGTTTCTTTATCAAATTTAGTTAGTTAATGAAGTACTGATGCATGAGAAGTAGGAACACTTCATATTCTCATCTCCTGGATTATGACACTGTAGTCTGGCAGATAATTACTGACATTTAGCCACTTACCAGATTACAAGGTGTGGTAACCGAGATCACAACATAAATCTTCACCACTGTGAAAACCTCAAATCACACAGTCAACATTTGTGTTATGAACGAATGAATGAGATAATGTATAAGGGGTGGGCCATGTTAACTTCATGATCAACCTACACACCCTCCTAAAGAGGTATTAATGGCATGGGCAGTTTCCTTCTGATGCACGAATTTCATGTTAATAATATTTAAAAATACATTTCCCACCTCACAGAAAACACGCTGTCTCAATTACAAAAGCCGGTTACCATAAAATTAGATGATTAATGCTGCTTATGGAAATAATCCGTTCGTTTCGGGAATCATACAAAACATATAAATACACTCTATGGGAAAAATGTCGAGTCCAGAATGTAAAGCATGGGGTTCTTACAGTTACCAGTAAGCTCTGAAGGAATTTATGCTGTCGGGTAGGATATTCAAAGTAAGAACGTGTTATGTAAAAGTTCAATTAGCACCTTCAAGAAATGTTACTTTCTGTTACATACCCGCCATAAACTTCTCTTTGACCATCCTCGATTACTATTTGCATCCACAATTGTATTAGGCAAATTTAAAGCCACATATTCCTTCCTAAATTGCCCAAGCATGGCAACTTTGACTAGGGAGCAAATTAATATCTCCGCAAATACAACAGCTAATCATAAAATCACCCGGCCTACTATTCAAAGTTTTCCTTTCGCATCTTCAATCTACATATCGGTACACGGCGAATTAATCCATGACCATTATTACGGTTGCATACTACTGAGACGGACGAGACACCTGCCATACACACTGGATACGCTGGACGCATTGCCACTCGACAACGGCTTTCAGCGCTTTCAGTGTACGTCAACTTCAATTGCACTTTAATAACCTGCAACCACAGATTACTTGAAACTACTCAACTTCTCTCCTTGGTCTCTGATATATTCAATGCAACCAGTATATCACGTCTTTAGAGGCCATGACATTATTATATCTTCACAAAACCTCTGGATATTTCAAATACCTCGTACAATGATCAGTCTTAAAATCTGTGCCGCAATAGATCTTAAACCAATTTTAAGCTATGCTATTTTGGCCTGCTTATGAAGTTAGTGGGGAGAAATAACTAGCTCAGAATCTTAAGCCGCTGGATTCCGAAGCATGGAAATACGCAGAAACTATACCAAGATAATTGGTGATCCATGATAGTAAATCACTGCCGCATGCTAGATCTGCTAGATCGTGCTAGATACCAAATAACTACCTTCCTGCTATCTTTAGGTGATCTGCATAAATTACAAGGTAGGGACTTGAAGACAATTTAAAACGCTTTGCAGTTCAAAGGCGTTATCGCAACTCATACAGTCATTATCAGCGATTATCAGTCAGGAGTGTCGTTGCATGTTCGGCTTAATGCAAAGCGTCCAATATCATATAAATGTATAAAATCTAAAATATGTATAATTTATGATCAATTAACGACTACCAAATATGGAAAAAATATGAAGAAAAAAAATGATAAACCCATTCATTGAAGATTTCAGTTCAAAACCTGGAAAGTTTTCTTTTATGTGAGATTTGAGATTCTCAGGACAGTGAGAACTGTAGATGCAGGTAGACCATGAAATGTGGCTACTGCTTCTGAGAAGCCAGTTGCCACAACGTAGATTAGCAAGTTCCTTCACAAAACTGCTAACTGCCTAAAGGCAGTAATAGAGCCCTAGTCCTTGTTGAATGTCAGGAAGTTGCTGAAATTATGAAAACCCTACTACAGTATCACGTTACAGTTCCCACCAGCATCATCTGATTATAAGTACCCACCACAGCACATTGTGATTCATAAAAACAGCATTGAATTGAACTGAATTTATTTACATTCTATAAATCGTAAGCAGGTTAGTACCTGCACAGATTGTCCTGTAATCTCTGTCAAAGCACATTTTCTGTACAAGCAACCTTAAAATAGTAGTTATTGGCCATTAAGAAGGTCCAGGAAAACCAGGTGGAACTGAAATTAAATGGGACACATCAGCTGCTAGTCAATGTGAATCTACTGGGAGAGAACATGCATAAAGAAAGACACACAAATTTCAATTGATGCTGGTAAGGAGGTTGGTCTAGAAGTAAAGGCAGAGAAAACCAACTGTAACTGCTCCACTGTCGCTCACTAGTTTAAGTATAATTAGAATAATCAGTAACAAAAATTAATTGCAGGTAACAAGTAATACTCAAGCCAGTGGGACATAGTCACATTCTTGTTTTCAGGAATGGACTTATTCCAAATCTTGATGTTACACAGGAAGCATCCCCTGTGGCTTTTTCTGAGAAATTTTGTTTTCAAGTAGCATGGCAGCAAACTTTGATATTTTGATCATTGACAGATCCTGCATGTCGTAACTTAAAAGTAGGCGGTTTAGAAACCCACACCAAGCAGGTTATCTATCAGTGTATGTCAAAAATGACGTTAGGACTTTAAGGTTCAAAGTCCCAATTTGCAGCTAGCTGATTGGAGATCCAGGAATTGTGTGAACCCTTAGTTCTCAAAATTACCCAATCAGTGGAATTAGGGGGGGGTTACTTAGCAGAGGAACAGACGGACAGAGCACCTCAGTGTTTTCAGACAGAGTCATAAACAGTTGCCAAACAGTCGCCAAGTGAGTGGCCTGCTGCTCGTGAACAATTTAGAGACAAAAATCTGTGTTCTTCGCTGTTCTGGAGAATCTCAAATTCAAAGTGCTGAAGTGTAAATTGTGATAATAATGTCCGTTATACCAGGACTGAGCTATATCATCAGCATCAGTAATCTGTCAGACGACAGGTCCACAGTCTCTTCCAAAACAATTCCTCCACTTAATGCGATCTAGAGCGTTCTCCTTCAAATGACAGTATCCTCTTCTGTCCCCAAGGTCATCCAGCATCTTCTTACGTCTTCTTGTCACTTCTATCCGCCCCTCTATCTTTCCTTTGATAACTTCTTTTAGAAGGCAGTTTCTGCGTAAAACATGACCAATCCAATTAGCCTTCCATTTTCTTATTTCATGTAGGATATTCCTCTGCTCACTGACTCTAATTAACACTTCTTCATTTCTCACATAATCGGTCCAACTGATCTTCTCCATCCTTCTCCAACACCACATTTCGAAACTTTCCAGATGTTTCAGCCCCATACAGAGCTATGCTCCAAACGTAGCATTTCATTAGTTTCTTCTTCAAATTTAAGTCCAGTTTGCTGGTAAAAAGATTCTTCTTCTTGCTAAATGCAGCTTTTGCCATGGCAATCCTGGATTTAATTTCACTAGTACACCTTGCATCATCTGTTAACAAGCTACCCAAATTGAGCTATATAAGGACCTATATATACAAGCATCCTTTGTATTGACTGTGTGTGTCATCAGGTGAAGGAAAGTGTGGATCTCAATAAATGGTCTCGGTGTTTAAGTGCAAAGTAGCATTGAACCAACTGCTTCCCTCCCCATCCTAAGCGAGGCCCTAGCAAATGCTCTGAGAAGGATCCCAGCTTTACCCACACCTTTACCCCCTTTCCAAAATAAATCTCCGACTAGTGTAAGCCAACACCACCTGAGCTTACTGGCGCCCAACCGAAGAAGAAGAAATGAGAGAAGCGATAAACGTGTGACTAACCAACCAACAATGGGGGAGTGAAGGTGAGTGAAGTATGGTTACATAACTTGCTGTCTCATCACCAGAATACAGGGAAAAATCATGAGATGAAAATGTGGCACAGTTCAAATATTTGTAAGTAAGAGGAGTCTGAATTCAGGTAATGCTTGCTACCATCAAATCCTGATGCTTTTGTCTTCTCATCTGCTGTCTAAAAACGTAAAAATTAGAATATACAAAATTATAATTTTTCTGCAGTTCTGTATGGATGTGAAACTTGGTCCCTGACATTAAGAGAGGAACACAGACTACGAGTCCTAAGGGTGCTTGAGAACAGGGTGCTGAGGAGAATATTTGGACCCAACAGAGATGAAGTGATGGGCTGTTGGAGAAAAACTATGTAATGAGGAGCTTCATAACTTGTATTCTTCACCAAGCAGAATGATCAAGTCAAGAGGGATGAGATGGCCAGGGCATCTAGCATGAATGGGAGAGAAGAGAAATGCATGTAGGACATTGGTGGGAAAGCCAGACAGAAAGACAAAGGTGGGCAGATAATATTAAAATGAAACTTAGAGATAGGATGCTGTGATATGGACTGGATTTTTCTGGCTCATGATAGAGACCAGTGGAGGGCTTTTGTGAACATTGTAATCAACCTTCAGGTTCCATAAAATATTGGAATGTCATTGAATAGCTGCATAACTGGCAGCTTCTCAAGAAGGGGTCAGCTTCATGAAGTTAGTTGGCTTTATGTCGGGATCTGGTTCCAAGTAGTTCTATGTTTGATTACATGCAATAAATTACTTCTTAACATAAGTTTTTTTTCCCCAAAATGTACCTAATCCACCTGAAAAAACTTTCAGGAAATGATAAAATGCTGGTGTGATAATGCATCAGTGGAAAATCTCCTGTCCTTTATGGCTACTTTCTCCCTACATTGTTTTATTTTTAGTTTGTAAATGTAATATGTATATGGATGTCAAGTCAGATCTGATGTAATTTAACTAATAAAATCTTGAAATTTATACTAGCTTTGTACTTTATATGAATTCTATCATTTGTATATTTCTTATGTATCACATGATGGCCACCTCTCTGGGATAAAACATGTTGAGGGTAAAATAATAAAAACATTTGTGTGTGATGATAACCCCTTCATTTTTATTTATCCACTTGAGGACAAATGTCAGTCCTTGAGAATACAAACTTTACAAAGACCATATTATAATATTATACTATAACTACACAAGAATGACATGTCTTATATCATGTATAATGATCCATGGACACGAAATAAATGAATGAATGCATGATGTTTAACATGAAATTTCATGTTGGAACACAATGCTAAATCATCTGTGATATATACCAAACTAGGTAGCAAAGATTCTTCTTTGCATCTTGCAAATGGTGATGACTTGGAGCACACAATTTCCATATTTTACACCTCTTCTGACAACAATGTGTGTCACTTTATATGCTGACTTCAGCTGTAGTGTTGTTTCACTGCATTCAAAATTCATTTTTCACAGAATTGACATTATAGGTCCTGATGATGCCTGAAGCATGTAATACATGAAGTCTCATTTCATTCAAAAGTACAAAACAGAGCCTTGGAACTTATTGTATGCTCCACATGTTTGTAACAGGAAATTACATATTTAAGGTGAGAAGCTGGTAAAATTGTTCTCATTTCTTACCATTACACCATGAAAATGTACAAGGGTGGGCAAAAGCCAGCCCATGGGCTTAATACAGAATGAACATTTCCTCTAGTCTGGGTCATGGAAACACATTAATGAAAATAACTCCCCACATATCCATCAACACTTTGAATATCTCAAGAAATATGCAACATGTAACCGAATCATGTAATCTGCTATATGATTTATGGTTTGTGTTCATAATCCCTTTTAACTTCATCCTTAATCCACTCCATGCACAAACAGAAGAAATAATTCAAACACGTGGTGATCTGACCCACCAGCCAAAATACCTGCTCATCTCTGACATATAGGATCTGCTCAAACAAAGCTCCATGCATTATTAACCTCAGCACTTGCAGAATTTAACGAAATAAGATTCTTGCTCTCACGCTTTACTTCAGAGAAAGACCCTAGTACCTATCGGATAGGAAGCTCAGCCAATCCCACAGCCGGTCTGAACATTGCAGCAAAAAGAAATATCCCAGCCTTTACCGGGAATATAATCCGTTGATTATCACCATAGCAAGTCACATCACTGACTCAGCTAACCCAATGAGAAAGAGACAAACTGATGGTTTACAGCGTGATTCATGCTTTTGTACTTAAGACGCTTATGATATTGATACTACTTTAACATGAGGTCTGGAAATACTGTATCAACTCCTTGCAATCCACTAGAAAATGGCCCTAGACACAACAATATACATGAACTATGAATACTAAAACACAGAGGTAATTCACCATAAAATAATTGTAACTCATTTAAAAAATAACATTGAAATATTTGTATTATTTATTTACAATTTAAAAAGTCAGTGTGATATTATCATGATAATGATAAGGGATCTTAGTGTGATCGAATATACCCTCTCGCTATTTTTACATCATCAAGTGGTCTGTCATTTTTATCAGTTTCAACCAATCCAATCCTTTTCACCACATTCATTCCAGAATGTACACGACCTAAGGAAAACAAACATAACATTATAAAATTAAGTGCACAGTGAAAATACATTCCAAACATCTTTTTAATATCAATATTATTTTATTCGAATCTGAAATATGAAAATGTACAAATTAATACTACACCTTTTGCTGCTGTATTCCAGTCATCAAAACGTATTACTTTATCATATCTTAACTTGAACTGGGTACTTAACTATTTCATAAAGTGGTTTCCATCAACTTTATTTAATGCTGATGCAAGTGGAGAAAACTGAGGAATGAAAATTAGCAAGGTGAATCGAGAAATCAGTGAAGATTTGAGCACTAAGATTATGAACTGGTATGAATTGTACAGAAGGTATAAACTGTTATGTCGTAATAAAAATTTGGGCTTCATAACACTTGAGAGATAAGGCCCACAGAAAGCAAGTTTAGGTAATCTTATACAGGGAATTTGCTGATGTGGTGGAAACAACCCCCTCAAACATTTCTGGTAGCAGTGAGTAAAAAACTCTAATTCTGTACTTTCATGATGTATTGATTCAGCCTATTTGATAGTGTTGGCTGGAGGTTATAACTGGACAAAACAGGGTAAAAACTGATACACAATTTCTGGAAATTATAACAGTAAATACCAAACTTCCATCCAAAGAAAATAATACTGTTCTAAAAATATAAAAAGATACAAAGATCCATACCAAATATAGTATGTTTCCCATCTAGCCACTGAGTTGGAGCAAGGGTAATAAAGAATTGAGAGCCATTTGTATGTGGTCCTGAGTTTGCCATCGATAATATCCCAGCACCTAAAAGTTAAATTCATGAAATGTTAATTCTTTATACTGCTTGCACCTATACTCCTCTTGAAACCCAAACCTTCTTCACTCTCTCTGGATAAACAGCTAACCTGTGTGTTTCAATTCTTCATGAATTTCATCTTCAAAATGTCTCCCATAAATGGAAGCACCCCCTTTCCCTGTTCCAGTGGGATCTCCACCTACAATTAACAGTCTGTCATTAGCCCACATGTGTGATACATGATTCCCTCATGTAATGAAAACACAGTATTACTTCAGTTATCATGGGTAAAAAAATAAAATATTTTAATTATCAATAAACTTCAAGTATTCTTTGGCTTACATCACCTCCTCACCAAAAAAAGTAAGAATTTCTTATGCATCTGTTTAATCTTCTGTCACTAAAAATTAACCTTCAGATAAAAGGGATTGAAATTTTTAAAAAAGTTAGTACTTAACAGTTACAGTTTTCTTCAAATTATTGAATGAATATATATAACATAAGTTATCTCAATTGTTCACACAGAGATGAATTATGCAAGTAACATGAAGAAAAATTAAACCGGTTCCAAACTTACATCACAAAGAGAATCTCTGATGGGTCTTGCTCCTGTGTAAATCTTAATTAAATAATCTTCATACAATCACTACAAATTCATTATTAACACACACGTTAATAATAAATGATTAATGAATATGAATATGTTTTTTTTTTCACTTCATATCAAAAGTTTCTTAACTTTCTGACTGCCAAGCCCTGTCACAGAACAACTTGCTAGAAATGCCAAGGACGATTGGGAGTTCCTGCCATCAGACTGCCTTCAAATGACTTTATGCAAAGCTAGTAAGCAAGCCTGTTCTTTCCTCTAAACAATGATTTATCACATCTGATGACATCTAAAGACAAAAATTCTGTGGACTAAGTGATTAATGTTAAGCAAATCTTTTCAACTGTGGCAGTTTAAATTAACATATACAAAGAAGAAGCAATTGGCTCACAACATGGAAAGGGTTAATTTACCTTGAATCATAAAATCCCTTATAATTCTGTGAAACTTGGTTCCATTGTAGTAATTCCTTCTTACAAGTTCAGCAAAGTTCCTGCATGTCATTGGTGCATGTTTCCAGTATAATTCAACAACAATCTCTCCCATACTGAAATAAAGAAATGTGACAAGACTGACAATATACTTTATTCTTAAGGGTTGATGGCATATTATGCTTAGGATTATGGGGCTTCTGGATTTCATCCATCATCTAGTATTCCGAAGACAACATGATGTTTTAGAAATTGCATCCGTTTCCATTCTCAGGTGACAGGATAAGAGGCACTTACATAATTGTGTCTGTTAGTAGGAGTTAATCTATATCAAGTAAGTAAGACACATCTATATAAGCACCTAGGATGAAACAGCTGTTTACAAACTTGTGTTCTATTCTAGACTGCAGACAACAGACTGAAGTCCATAAACTCAGGGACCCTTAGTGTAACAGACTGTATTATGACATGCTCTACATTCTTGGCTTATTATTATGATCCATGGAATGGAAATGACTTATGTTCTTGTTTGACAGCATTCATTTTATTCAAATGATATTCTATTAATTGTAATTTTAATCTTACTCATATATTTCATTGTTAATATTCAGAATTAACTTGACTTGTCCTATATCATGTACAATGATCTACAGTGATGAAATAAATAAATAAATCAATCAATCAATATTATATTCCATCATCAGAACCTTCAGAATTAATTTATTATTTTTGCTTCTCAAATGAGGCAGAGGTATATAGTGGCTTATGTAGCTCCAGCTAACTGGCCAAGGCTGTATAGTGACTGAGACTGGCCTTTTCTAATAGACCCAACTGATAAATTGCCACTCCACCCTTTCACCTGAGGACAGAAGCAGATTCATATTCTGAACATCAAGTTTTGTTCAGAATACTAGTCACAGAACAAAGTTCAGAAACCAACTAATCCTAAGAATGGTATACTTTACTGTCACTTCATAACTACATAGAATACGAATTAAAGTGCTCTAAAAACATGTGCACAAATCATCTTTCTGTCCCTTAAAGCACTGTCTATAAAAGTATTAGAACAAAACTGCAATACTGTACATGTGTGCTTAGCATAGCAATCACTGTTGCTAGCTGCGGCAGTCCTATCCTGCACAGATTCCATGTTGTTTGAACATGAAGGATAACTTCATTACCTTAGTGCAGGTCTGCACAAATTTCCTAGAAACCTGACAGCCATCTTCAAAAACTAGAAGCCAGAACGAAAAACAAAGACCTTGGGGGTGATTTTTTTAACATGACAATTAAAATATCTACACACAAGCAACGGTCAGTCCTTTTCACACTCAAGGAACACCAAATGGGCTGTATCTAGGATGAGAAAACATAAACAATCTTCTGCCACTGTTAGGATATGGGGAGAGGAATGATGATAGGATGTACATACAGGACATGTGAAAATATGGGGAATGGAGATAAAGGTATAAAAGTGTTAAAGGAACAGATGAATGGGGTTAGGGAATGGTTTAATGTGACGGTAGCTAAGGAAGGAAGGGGAAAGGATTGATCATAAGACAAACTAATGACAGACATGAGAAAACAATAAGAATGGAGGGAGAGAGATAAAAGTACAAAAGGAAGGAGAAAAAAATTGATACTCTCCAACATCTCTGATGGATCATGCACTAGCATGAACGTAACAGGAAAAGATTCTTAGCGCCATGAATTTGGGCAGGCCTACCTAATGACTTGATAAAGATATGAGTGAGGGGAGCTGAAATATGCTATCTGAACCAATCATCTGGACAGGCCTCTACCTAAAACTCAATACTTATTAGTACAAAGGCACACATGAAAATGCTTTCCAGTTTTTAATAACAAGAAATAAATTGAACAAATCATCGTAAATTCTTACACGCTTATTCTACAATATAAAACCACTGATTCAATTTAAAATTTTGCTTATGTTCCTACATTTCGGACAAATTCTTTGAGAATATTTCACGGCAACATTCTCACAACACAAGATTACAAATGCAACTCCCACCTACGTGGTTTCTAATACAACATGAGGAGGCTGCCATAACTTATCAGGTATTCCTGTAGCTGCAGACATTGTTATTTCCTCAATGAAATTAATTATTTTAAGAAATTAATTTCAACGTTTCTTTTAACGTGCGATAAAAGCCAAACAACGATAACGTTTTCACATGAAACAAAACATCCGCCAACCTCATCTCACTACAGATACATAGCACCACGGATCAAACACACCGAAATACGCTATAACCTGCAGGACCTGCAGGGTTCGCTACAACTATGCACAACACCACGGTCTCGCCCGGTCTTGTCCGTCTTTTTGGTCTCATGGGTATGATCGTATAATAGTGATCCGTGAGCAGGTGGGAGCCAAGAAAAAGTGTATGGTTGTATGTCGGTTTGATTAGTACAAAGTGTTTTTATGTAGGAATATATCATTTTCTTCTGGAACCGAAAATCAAGACGCTTAAGACTATAGATTAGTCCATGTACATAACCGGTACGAGGACATATTTGTGGTCTTTGTGGTTGCTCTCGTGAGGCTCGTGAGCCTCGTGGGAGATGAGACGGATCAGACGCGTGGGAGTGATCCGTGCTGGGTGGAATGGAATGTTTTGAAAATGCATAACCGCGACTGTAAAAGATAAGCTTTGGCGAATTATTGTATATCTGTGTGATGATTAAGAAATAAAATGTGATTATGTTACTACTACAATGAGAATTTTACATCTCAAAACTTGTTTCTCTGTTGTTCGAACCTAACCTGTTGCAATTATGAAGATTGAAGTTCATCATTTAACAAGGAATCCCACGGCAGCATGGAATGACCTATCAAAAATTCAGAAAGTAATAAAGGTGCAAGTTAGTCCACCAAAGTCAAGTGTAGCAGATGATAAGGTGAGTCTTGGGTTAGGTATTGTCTTCAATATGGCAGGCATTTGGAACAAATTCTGTATTGACAAAATTTTCAGGTTTACAGAGTTAAAAGAGTATTATATATAAATTTTAGCCCCATGGATTATTGTACACACACACACACATTCCATTCTGCAATTTATATGCTTCGTTCTGTGATCACCAATTTGGCATTCACTGTCATCATTCTGTCATTTCTGAACTTGTGTTACTTAACTTTGGTACCTGTTGTATGATCAGGAGCCGTGATAGCGCATTTTGTATAGTGACTGGCTATGGGCTGGATAGCTGAATGTTCAGAGTTGAGTCCTGGTGAGCTCAAGAATTTTCTCTTCACGTCATCCAGACTGGCTCTAGGGCACACGCAGCATCCTACCCAATGAGTACTGGGGGCCCTTTCCATCAGGAGAATAAAGTGGTCAGGGCGTGAAGGTGACCACTCACCTCCAACTAGTGCTGAGGTCAAGAAAAAATGGATCTTTCATTCATTCATTTATTCACATTCCATAAAATCCTTACAAGGTTGAAAAAACCAATAGATATAGAAATCATCCAGAAACATAAACTCATCTTGCTTAGAAATCAAGCAGTTGTCAAAATATTGATTGATTGATTGATTTATTTCGTCACTGTAGATCATTGTACATGATATATGACAAGTCAAGTTAATTCTGAATATTAACAATTTGATATATAAGTAGATTAAAATTACAATAGTTACAATTTTTTTTTTTTTACTGCTGATTACAATTTAGAATTAGTTAGATATTCTTATTTGTGGAGAATTTGATGGAATGAACAAGTTAATAGTATACAAGATTTAAATAACACATAAAAATTTATCTTGAAAATAATAAGTAGTTAGTTAGTTATTGGAGAGGGTGGGTTTCCCCATGCACTGAGACCTGTGTTGGTCCATTGTGCTTCCCTCTATGATTTCTACCAGTCTCTATATCCTACTGGTACTGGTGCTTACCATCAGTCCTGCCCAGCCAGCGAGACCGGCTCTACTAGCTGAGAGGTATCTATAATGCTTCCCCCATCTACCAGAGGTATTAGAGACTGCTGTTGGGCGGGAAGCGTCCGTAATGTGGCTCAGTGACCTCCTTTGGAGATATGAGGTTCTTTTACGTGCTGTAAAGCTACGACACGGGACCCACGGCTTAAAGTCCCTCCCAGAGGACTTGTTCCCTGAATTTTTCCACCCTTAAAAATTCGACGACCTCCGCCGGGTATTTGAACCCGCGTACTACGAGTCATGAGGTGGGAACGTTACCTCTAGACTATGGAGGCCACTAAAATAATAAGTAAGAAATTGACAATTTTAAGATAAAAAATTCTGTCCTAATATTATTAACTAATCATGCTTATACAATATGACAGTTATTTAAAAACCAGTTTATAATATAAGACAAGTTTGAAAGATGAATAAAATTAGTCATATTACAGTAACCAATTTACAATATAAGATAAGAATAATAATGAATGCAAATAATAATACTTACAACTTTAAAACGGTAAAATCAAATAAGATCTGTTATAACATAATTGAAGTTATTTACAAAAAAGCTTAGTCAACTAACATATTGGTTAAAATTTCAATATAATATAATTATACAAGCATTATCTCATAAAAAATTCTTTCAATGTATAAAAAGAATTAAAATATGAAAATACAGCAAGACATGAACAAACCCTGGACGACATCAAGAACATCCTCATCAAGATAGACAGGCAGCACAAAATCAGCCCCATACAAGGACAATAGGAGTACAGACACGAACCTATGTGGTTTAAAAAATTTTAACTACTGACAATAAAAGTTTTTTAAATAACATTTAGAACTTTTAAAAACTTTACAACACCAAGAAGCTGCTGTGATTGTGAAATGTTCGACTTTATGAGTACTGTGCATTATAGGATAAGTGTATGTATTTTAAATCAAAACACCTATTGTGATGGTAGTTTCCAGTTTGTAATGATGTTACCTCTGAAGATGGCCCGTATGGACCGAAACATGTAAGGGAGATAAGTTTTCACGTAGTAAAAACTTATATGTCACATTGGACGGAGTTGTTTGTATTTGTAATTGTTAGTGTGCGGAGCAGAATGAAACAAATCAAATTCATACAAAAATTCCTTTAACTTGCCCTTAAATCTTTCTGTATCATTAGAAATTTCCTTCAGTGTATCAGGAAGTGCATTGTATATTTTAACAGCCATATGATATACCCCGTTTCCATATATCGCCAAATTAACCTGGGTCATATGTATATCCATAATGTGTCTAGTATTTATTTCTTCTGTTTTTTACTACAAACATCATCAAGGTGTATATATATTGTGTTCTTAAAGGAAATATATTCATATCCTTAAAATGTCCTCTACATGAATCTCTTGAGCCACATCCTTTCATTATTCTTACAACTCTCTTTTGCAACTTAAAAACTCTTTCGGCATAAGACGAGTTACCCCAAAACATTATACCGTATGACAAGACAGAATGGAAATATGAAAAATAAACACTTTTTAATGTTTTCATGGAGACCATTTGTTTTACATTTCTTATCATATAGCAGGCTATACTCAATTTTTTACTTATGTCTTGTATATGACCATCCCAAGTTATGTCATTTTGGATAATCAGGCCAAGAAATTTTGTGTAATTTGCGCATGTTATAATAGTACCAAGATCTCCCATATCTCTATCACACCAGATTTTTGCAGTGAAATTTATATAATGTTTTTATTATATTAAGAGACATTAAATTCTTTTTGAATCAATCATCCCATATCCTGAATATGTCATTTGTTTTGGTTTTGAATTTTATTGTATTGGCATGAGAAATCAATACACAGGCATCATCAGCAAAATGTATAGGAGTACTCACTCTTTACATCCATTCCCACATATGCCTTCATGGTATAGCGCTTAATTAGTTAAGCACAGGGACAACTTTGCCTTTTCCTTTACCTGTTGTGTATCAAGCACAGGGACAACTTTGCCTTTTCCTTTACCTGTTGGGGAACAAAAAAAAAGCAGGAACAAAATATTTCTTTGTGGAAAGGGTTCTGAAACACAGTGCAATAATATTTAGCCAAAAAATGGAAATTTGAACAAATAACCTGGACTTTTAAAAAAATACTATTTTCCTGAACTTTATAAAGATAAAAAAAAGTTTCCTGTGTACTTAAGCACAATCTCTTGGAGAATATAATGGGCATGGAAGCAAAGCTCAGCAGAGTCTTTATTCAAGTACCATGGTAGAAATGAGAGCCAACTCTACACTTTAGCCACTTCATTCCCAAAGAAAGTACTCACAGTATCCATTGGCTGAGTTTGGCATGTGATGATAGTAGGTAAATTTCTGCCTTGGCTGAGTATTAAGTTCTGGTCATCCAATTTGTAGCCATTCTCTTCACTAACAAAGCTTTCCTGTCTCTCCATATACATGAACTACAAAAATAATCTTTAACTTGGGATTTGGACCATTATTTTGATGTTACATGGCCAGATCTTTTACACATAAGCTCAAGATTACAAATGAATAGTCTGTGTTTAGATTTTACTATCTTTTTCTTCACAGCATTGAACAGCTTCAGGTTTCCACAAAGATGTTTTTCATATATGATTAAATATTCCAGGTACGAATTGTATGTATGAGCGATACACATTCAATGACACCTCATATTAAATTTGATATACCACAAGGAGATATATTCATACATGCCGGTGATTTCACGAGGTGTGGACAACAGGAAGAGGTTATCGAATTCAGTGAATGGATTGGTAAGATTATGAGACTTCTTTCCTATAAGCATAACTGGCATTTCTGGATATTTTTTGGTTAACTTATATTTAAAATAATTTTCATTGTTCATTCAGTAAAATATCTGGTTGTGTGCCAGGTAATTGATATTTGATTTCTTGCCAGAGTACTGAGATTCATCTCTTCATCACAACACCCAGAAATGCAGTAGTAGCCCATCCAGAATGTGGGTACTGGGGCATTTTTTCAGGGTTTGTTATATTTGAAGCTGATCATTTGTCTCCATCCAAATGTGATAACTAGAATGCGTGGGACTCTATGTCCACATCTTTTAATACCTTCATGACATGACCTTTAAATTATATTATATTATATTTCAGCATGCCATTGTATTGAGGCAACATCCTATTTTTTACTAACATATCCGTCAATAATACAACTTTAAAAATACATTATCTTGTTCACTAAAAATGCATTTTAATACTATGACAGTTCAAATCAGTAAAATGCCCGTAGGCCTTTATGTATTACATAAATTTACAAATTAAAAGTGAATGTCCACACTCCTCAAATTCTCTTCTTTAAATATTCACAACATATTTCAGCGTCATTGGGCCATCATCAGGTGAATTCTATCCTCGAGTGAGACCACTGCACTGTATTTGTTTCCCGTGCTTCCGTCGTGCACATCATTATTTACGTCATGCTAGTTGTTAAATTTCATTTTTATCCAGCTATTTTGCAGCTGTTATCAGTTTGTCATCGTGTTTCCCTATGTCAGTGTATGAAAGCACAAATAGCTGTGGGCCCAGTGATCAAGATTCAAGCCCTGGCAAGAGATACCAGAAATTCTTTAGAACTCTGTTCTGAATGGCTTTGGGCCACAAACCTATTTGATGAATACAGTGATAAAAGTATTGACATTATATAGTCCAGTATATATTTTTATCCAGTATTGGGTTTGAGAGAAAATGAATCAGAACACTGCAGCTATGCATAATGATGACTGAGGGCCCATTTTATCTTCACATTTTACCAGAATATAATAATGTGTCTGTTTCTTGCATGAGGTTCTCATGCAATTTAAGGTCATAGAGCTGTCCTTTTGTGAGGTTTTTTGCGTGCTGTTAAGGACTGGTTGTTATAATTGATTACTGAAGTCAGGTTGAAAATGTATATATGTTTGTGAGGAACATGAAAGTGGTCTGATTGTGTTTGTCTTTTCCTGTTTAGTGAGATCAGTATCATTAAAGAGTATGGCATCATAGTGATAAATGCTGTTTGAATTATACTATATACGTATACAAACCCTTATTAAAAATTAGGCCCTGGGGTCAACTCAGTCTCTAACAGAAATGAGTACCAGAAATGTTCTTGAGAATAAAAGGTGGCCAGCACGTAAGGCTGATAACCTTACTGCCATCTATGAGCCAATTGTCTAGAAAATGTGGGAACCTCAACATCTCACAACCCTATGGGCCTCCATGGCCTGTTACAGGGATACTTTAACTTTTTTATTAAAAATTATCTTTTAGCAACACATCACATGACGTTACTTAATTTTGTGTTCAATGTTTCAGGAAAATTACCACACAAACATAAGATTGTGATTGCAGGAAATCATGAATTGAGTTTTGATAAAACTTTCACTAATCCTCTAAGACAGAGCCCAAATGATCGTTCCACTCATACTGGTCCCAGCCTTGTTGACCAAATACCAACTCTGGGTATTCCAAAAGATAAAATTACGGAAGCTGTTCAAACACCCAATGTCAAGGATTATCTCACCAACTGCATATACTTGGAAGACAGTGAAGTTATGTTATATGGGCTCAAAATTTATGGTACTCCATGGTAAATAAAATACATGAATAGCATTTGTAATGTACAGGGAAAGTATTCTTTTGTGGTCACAGAAGCCTGCATGGTAGTCTGTTACATATTTACTATAAACTCACAAGCATGTTGCCGTATATTATTGATTATCTGTAGTCATGTGCACATATCAATAATTTAGTTATTGTAAACTCCATTATATCATTTGAGGTAATTCCATGGAGATTTCATTCTTAAGAAGCAAACAATTGCTCATCTAGTTAAGAAATTCCTGCCTTTTTATGGAAACAAAAGATCCAATACCATGTTCACAAAAGCCCACCACTGGAGTCATACAAATCTAGTTCAGTCTTTACATTCTCTTTCTATAACACCATTTTTAATATTATTCTCCCATATAAGCCAAGTTCTACAAGCAGTCTCTTCCCTTCAGGTCCAACCAGAAATTTTCAATACATTTCTCATTGATTCCATGCATGCTACATTTCCCACCCACCACACCCTCCTTTACTTGATCGCCTTAGTAATTATGAAGGGTACAAAATAATGTTAAATATGTGAAAACTGTAAACTGCATATATATTTTTACTATTACAGGAGTTTACAGCCATGGTAGGGAGAATTTTCTTTTATCCTGCCAAATATTAATAATTCAGTTCGTTCTCGGGATTATGGAGGTAGGATATAGGAATAGTATACTGCAGTGCTAGTGACTTGGCTTCTTTCCTTTCTGGGCCAGTAGCTAAATAGCTGAGACTTTGTGCACGTTCTTATTCTGTGCGTGTTGGGGGGGGGGNGGACAGAGTGATACCATGCACATGGAGATGTGTTAAAATATTTTTGTGAAGATATTTGTGTGGATGAAGATGTTATTGACAAAATTTAATATAATACATCCCTATGGAAGTAATGTGTACAGAATATTCAGGTTGTAGGCCTGCATGTTATCTTCCTTGATTGAGTCTTCATAATAATGAAGTTGGAGGTTATTTTCTTTGTTGATACTCAGAGTAAAAACAAACATTCTGATGTATTAGAAAAAAAATAATTAAATATATTTTTTTTGTTATATTTTAATTATTTACAAATATTAATGCATGTTCTTCATTCATTACTTCATTAACAAACATTTCACTATAACGTGTGCTTCCAGTGAACTAGACATTGGAGGTGTAAAAACAAATTGATGGTATTTCAAGGAAAAATTACCATTATATTGTCGCGTGCCGCCAGGAATTTGGAATGTATACTTCCATGGAAATGCAATACCAGCCTAGGAATACCTTAAGCAACAAACGCGTTTCCTCAGAGATGAAAGGACAACAAAAGGTTCGTTGCATATCAGCAGCCTAGACCAAAGGCTCCTACATGGTGCGCTATATTCCGTCCGAGACCAGGTTATAAACTCCAGCTTCAACAAGAGACCAGGGCAGTTTGCACTTGACCTTAGAAGAGTAGTCAGTCTTCAGTTTGGTTTTGACTATAGCAGAAGCTGTAATTGTGATACTGAAATTGTGAATAATTGTACTTGCAAGTGTACAGGAGATTGGTCAATAAACATATTCGCCAAATCCGAGACCTGCATGAATTTATTTGTCGCGTTACATAGGCAACACGCGACAATATAATCTCAAATGCTTGGTTCACATTGTATAGCTAGTATGATATGTTTGAGACAAATAACATAGAAAGTAATTATGGGAAACCACTATACATAACATGTAGAACAATAAAGAAGTGAAACGTACTGTGGTATGTAAGATTTTATAAGTAAATGTTTATTTGGAAGTGAAACATCGACTTTTGTAGGCAGCTGTTTAATAAGCTTTAATTTAAGCTGAATTTAATCCTAATGGCTAATTAATTTTTTGGTGTTAGGCAACCAGAATTCTGTAAGTGGGCTTTTAATGTCCCAAGAGGTGAAGAATGCTTGCAGAAGTGGGACAAAATTCCTGATGACACAGACATACTGGTGACACATACACCACCTGTAGGACATGGGGATCTCTGTTGTACAGGTGTCCGAGCAGGTTGCGTTGAACTTCTGACAACTGTCCAGCAACGAGTTAAACCAAAGTATCATGTTTTTGGACATATCCATGAGGGTGAGTTTTTGGTTTATAAAATGTACAAAATAAGTTCCCTCATGCCCAAGTACGGAGCCATCATAGCACACAATAGAGTTGGCAGTAAACTTCATTCCTTTTCAGACCCATGCAGTAGATAGTGGTGTGTGCTTATCTTAAATTTTTTTACTCTCCGAATAATGATCCTGATAAGTAAAGTATTGAATTGTGCAGTGTGAATTAGATTATTTCTGTATATATGGTCAGTGGTATGGTTCTTTGTTTGAAATTTATGATGTGTTACTTCCCACGCTCTAAAATCACAGAGCTTACATCAGCTTTTATTTAGGGGATGGAAGCCCTTTGATAGACAGTGATTTTATAGAACCCAGAGGAGCGTTACTGATTTTCACAATGACAATATTTGAATTCTGACAAGTTCAATCCAGTTCACATCCTTATAATCTCATTCTCCAAGGTCCATTTTTAATATTGAAATATACAACAACAAAAAAACTCTTTGACTTTAGTCCGCAAGCGAACCATACCAACTGCCACTTGTCATCGAAGTTAGTGCCAACTTTAGCGGATAGAGAGTGTCGCGTGGTCAGCGCAACAGACCCCCACAGTTTTCTAGACCGGAGCTGCTACTTTTCCATTCAAGTGGCTCCTCAATTATCCTCATGTGGTTGAGTGGACCCTGGGACCTCTGGATTTGTAGCCAGGAATTCTAACCGCTAGACCACAAAGGCGATCATGTTACATATGAAATATATAACACAGTGATAAAATTCAATTTAGAGACAAATTTACACCCAGAGTACTTTATACCTTCAGGTGAACTGTAAACCACACAGGCACAACACAAATAAAACGCTCTTGAGGAAATAGAGACCTAATGTACAGCTCATTCAAGCTTGATTGTGACACGTAGATGGCAAAGTACTTCTCCATTGACAAGCATTATACACATGCTATGTGCAGTGACTATGTTATATGTACCTTTAATTATTGAATATTTTTTTAAGGATATGGAGTATCTTCTGATGGAAAAATTATCTACATAAATGCATCAACTTGTGACATTAATTACCTTCCAACAAACACCCCTGTGGTTTTCGATGTCACTTTGCCACCGGGTATTAAAAAACAATAAACAAGGAGCCACAAGAACTGGGACAAGTTGTTCAAGTCCTTGTATAAGATGTGATGATGAATTGCAGTATTATTGTGGATTATAGTTTGTTCTCGAGTTTTGTATTAAATTCTTATATTTATTTATTTTTATTTACTTATGTAAGACTGGTTAATGTTAATAAAAAGATCTGCTAAGGAGATTAATCATTGACTGTTATTTTAATCTGATGATTTTCAGAATTTCCTAATTAAATAACCTCTTCAGGCTTTATTTTTTAATTTCTTATGACACTTTCTGCATTTGTACTGTATGATGCCAAATGATAGGGTGACTGACAAACTGGAAAGGATTTGTAAGGAAGCAGTCATGGCCTAATTGAGGTCGTATGTTAATGTACGGGATTTCGATGCCAACCAAGACATTAAACTAACATGAGTGTAAAGAATAATGCACACTGAACAGCTGCATTTGGAATTATAAGTGAAAGTCATAGTGTAATACACTAAGTACTAAATTAAAAGAAAAAACATATCTGCTTTCAGTTCAGCCTACACTCAAGATTGTTTTTTTTTTCTTTCTCAGTTGTGATCTTTTGCTGAAATGATTGAAGCATTTGTTTTGTGTAGATATAATCAAGAAGAAAAATCTTGGGGAACACGATCAGTCAAGGCCTAAGCAATCACTGGGCATATTTGGGAGATGTTGACTGTTGAATATGCAAGTCTGAATATGTATGCACAGCATCAAAGCAAACAAACTCCGTGGTTTTAGTCCGCAAGTGAATTATACCAACCAAGAGGCAGCCACTTGTTGGCGTTGTTAGTGCCAACTTTAGCAGATAGAGGGTGTTGCGTGGTTAGCACAATAAATCCCCACGGCCATTAATTCCGGTTTTCTAGACCGGAGCTCTATTTCCTTTAAATAGCCCCTCAATTATCCTCATGAGGCTGGGTGGACCCCATTCCAGACCCACCACTTCTCAAAAAATCTGGTAGTGCTGGGAATCGAACCCGGGCCTTTGGATCTTAGCCAGGAACTCTGACCACTACACCACAGATGACCATGCACAGCATTCCTTTTCTTTTTTATTATCCCCAAAGCTGTAAAACCTGAGGGAAAGGTGTATTGCGTATATAATACGTATTTCATTTTTCTTTACAGCTTATGTTTGAAACATCTTTTGCTTGATAAATATTTAGAATGTTATGCTTGGGATACTTGCAGATATGCATGTAGGTCTTCATATAAGTCAATCATTATTTTTGTTTGATTTCAACCAAAATTTGAACATGTTGATAAATTTTAGCAAATCTGTCCGATATGAAATACCTAAGTCCACTAGTTCTTGAGTGTGTTTTATATGTACAGGTGGATGGAAAACAGCAAACTGAATAGATGGTCTACGGGATTTCAGATGTCCCTCAAAGTGATTGCAATCCCATAAAATGGTATAAGCATACCACATCTTGTAAAAAAATGTGTGGCAAAATGTTACCTGTCAGTTGGCATTTCCCTGCAGCTCAATCTTTCAACTTTCAGCAAACGCACGTAATTACAATTGCTGTGTCTGACACAAGACATAATTTTAATAGCACTGGCATACAAAAAAGTGCTACTGTTATGTGCATGTTATACTTGAAGAGTTTTCTTGTGCCTCTTTGAGCAACCATGGCCTTCAGTGGTCTCTGGGAACGATCTAGAATGGAAGAGGGGCCTCAATGTTTCGATTGAACTATTTCATCATGTGTAGGTATGTTTACAATCTATCTTCAGACCAAATTTCACGTGCCTCACTCCAGTTATTTATTAGTCATTGTCCCCAAACTGAAATAACATTTTCACATGCTGCCATGTAATTTTACATTCTACATGAAATATTCCTTAATAAAAGTTGGACTTTTTTCTTTCCATCTCACAAGTTTGTGTATGTACCATATTGTTACTACTGATTGTTAGAAATTAAAAAGTATAATAGGGGACCCAAATGGCATACACAAGTTTTGTGAGAATTGGTCAGCTGGTTCTAAAGCTGAAATGGAGGGACAAAGCATGGTGATATTAATAAGGCTACTATTTTTCTGAGGGCGGGAAAGGATGCCAGTAATTGGATGACATACTTGCAAACTTCCACATACATAAGTACAGTCTTATAAATAAAATCACCAATACTACAAAAAAAACTGTATTTTCTAATTTCATATTACATCTTGTAATAATGACAGACTCTCAAACACAAGTGCTTAAAAACATTTCATCTGCTAAGTCACCATCAAAGCTACACAAAACAAGTGTACCCAGAAAGATCAAATTCAGCTAATTTTGCTGAAAGAATATGAACTCCCTGCAAGTTATTCTGTATTAGGAGGGGAGGGAGGAAGAGAAGGAATTCTGATGATATATAGACTAAAAGTATTTGTCAAATATCACACAGAATTTCTGTTTTGTACCATATGGTGCACGTGATTTGTACACCATCCTGAATTTTAACTATCATTCTAGCAGTAAGTACTAATCTACTATATGCTGCATTCAAAGTTGCCTAGTGCCTCAGTGGATAAAGCACATGACAGCTGGTTCTTTGGTAACTTAAACTATTCTACAAGAAGAAGTAATATCACTGAACTCTAATATAAATATAGGGAAACATTCTGCATGTCAGTTAAAGGCTATAGGGAAACATTCTGCATGTCAGTTAAAGGCTATGCAATGAAATCTAATAACAATTACATTGGTATGAAGTATTTTTCATTCTAACATATTTTTATCAGTTTCCTTAAATTTTTGTACATAAATCATGTAAAAATCAAATATTCAACTGTATTTTTCTACATGGAGAGAAGAGTTTAGGGCCATGTTATAACTTTGCACCACCAAAGCCTCAAGGATACAAAAATGGGACTCCATAAGAGATTCATGGTGGGCAAAGCAGCACTCAAGCAGGGTCTTCTCTAAGTTTCTTTGGTTCCCCTGCTATTAGTCATCCCACCACCAACCACAGATCCTTGTTTTCTAAGATGGGGGCTTCACTACTCTGATGCAGCAATTGGCTCGTTACAGAGTAAGGAAGTTAAATTCTCTAAGTACAGATTTTAGCGCAGATTATCGTCAGTCATAAGAAGCTCAAAAATAGTCTGCTAGGATACAGAACTTATAACAAGAGGCCAGTGACAAATTAGACAGAAAGTCACCTCTTGCAGAACACTGATAACATGATTATATTATATCACTGATACATTAAGTAGAAATTACATCATATTAATGCATTATTACTGAAGGAATGCCACTCACTCACATTAACCTGTAAATGATATAGTACATTTTCTCATAAGCTAGACTTAAATGCTATATAATAAACGTTACAAAGAAGACAGACTGGAAATGCGGTCTATTGTTTCAGTGGTTGTTAGACAGTCCATGAACTTTTGAAATATGATTTGCTCAACATTTTAATAAAATTAACAAATGGTGAAGTATAGTGATGTTAAATGCCTATTTTTGACAAAATATTCTTATTCAGTTGTGTACAACTAAAGTCATGTATGAATAAATTAGAAACACAGGTTTCCAAACTATACCCAAGTACACATAGAAATTGTATAATAAATCACATTTTTTTATCTTCTGGAAATGTAAATGGAATCAAATTAAAGGACATTTAAAGTTTCACAAAGTCAGACACTGTCCAAATGATTGAAAGTTTTGTGTGTTTGCAATGATAACTTCCAAAGTATAACTTAGGAAGAATTACTTTTTCTCACTGTGCTGATCAATTTAAAATACAGTTTTGGCATTTGAAATATTTTAGGGCACAAGAAGAAATAATAAACTGCTCCAGTTTTCTGTGCACTCACATCAAACCTGAACTGTGTACATGTCTGTACCACAACTCTAGTCATATATTCAGCCTCAGAATGTGTACAGCATCCTCTGCTTAAAATCGCTTCATCAGTCCCTTAAGTTTTCATCCCTCAGCACAAATGACTAAATATAAAACAATGGCTGAGTTATATGCGATTATGATCTAGTATGTATGGCAGAATATTCAATCCATTCAGTTATAAGAATGTAGGTCAGTCAAAAAGTTCCCAGAATTCCCCTGCAGAAGGAGAATGAGCGATAAGATAGTGCACACACTGTTGTGGTGGGAAGCTCAGCATGTCTGCTTGCAGGCGCAACAGGTCTGGACAGGTTTCAGTGTGCAGTGTCATTACTGTTCTGTTTGAATCAGACATGAGTGTTGGTCATTCGGCGCAATGTCGCAGTTCGAACAGCATGTGAACATCAAGTTCATTGGGAAAATCTGCTTCAGAGACGCTATCGGCCCTGCAGCAAGTTTACGGTGATACTGCACTAAAGAAATCCGCAGTTTACAACTGGTTTTCCCAGTTTAAGAATGGGCAGGAGATGTTAGAGCAGTGCTTCTCAACCGCCAGGCCACAGCCCAGTAGTCGGCCCTGGCATCAATTATACTGGGCCGCGAGAGGCTCTTCTGGAATTTGTCATTTTCATTTTCTAAGCATTTTTCATGAATAAATATTTTATAGTGGAAATATTCTGAGGAGAATAATATTTGTGTTGAGAAGCTCAGACACAGAACACCTAAATCTGTGTAGCAAATGTCAGTGACCAAGCCGCATATCTTTAAACATGGAAGTATTCATGAATGATCGGGAATTTTCAGACATCCAAATCTTTCAACAGTCGGGAAAGGCAATACCGATGTTTATGACCAGTCATAAAAATTGCCTGCAAGCCGATTACAACAATGGGTGGCATATCCTGTTCTCAAAACATCTGTGTTGCAAATGTCAGTGACCAATCAGCAAGAAAGTATAAAGAAAATGATTCCACTGAAATTGAAAATCAAGGCAGTCTGTATCTGGTTCTCAAATCTAGTGATCCTGAATACTGTTTCTTCGCAAGTTGACATCCTTCTGCTTCTTCGCCTACTCAGCTGACTTCTATTGTGAGTTACAATGCATAAATATTTTTCTCACTGCCATTTTTTTCAAAGCAACATCATTAAAATCAATTTAATAATACAATAATCAATTTTACGCTGAATAACATAAGTTTTTGGTGATCAGCATGGGATGTCAATGAAAATTAGCACAAATTAATTTAATGATGTTGGTCTGAGGAAACTACAAAATGATACAAGATTTCATTAGTCCAGCGATTGATAACTAATTTAAATGTAAGTTTATGTTTGTCAACATGCCACACCGTATATATAAGTGATTATATATGAGTGATTATGCTATAATTAATTACTAATATTACATTAGCTTAATGCATGAACTTTAAGAAAACTGGAAAGATATTTTGGAGTAAATTTGTTGGGACTGGGCCCTTGTCTTATAAAAAAAGAACTTACTGGGCCGCGGTCTCATAAAGGTTGAGAACCACTGCGTTAGAGGATGACCTTCCACATCCAGAACCAAAGAAATGATTAGAAAAGTGTGACAAGTGATTCGATGTGATCGAAGAATGACCATCACGGAGTTGGAGCAAGAAGTTGGTACTGTTACTGGCCATTTCTACGTGCAAGTTTTGCAGAGGATGCACGATGCAGTTCAGAGGAAGCGGCGCGACGAGTGGCAGGGACAACGGTTTCTGCATCAAGATAATGCACCGAGCCACACATTGCTTGTTGTGCAGCAATTCCTCACCGAGAAAAACATTTCTGTCATCACTCAACCACCTCACTCTCCGGATCTTGCTCCAAGTGACTTTTGGCTGTTCCCTACTCTGAAAATGGGCCTCAAGGGGACACGTTTCACAACCATGGAGGACATCAAATCGAATGCAACAGCTGAGCTCCAGAAGATTCCAAAAGAAGCCTTCCACCGCTGCTTCCAACAATGGCAGGATCGATGGAGCAAGTGTGTGTCCGCCAAGGGTCCTACTTTGAAGGTGATTAGGTAAGTGTTGCCGTATGTCCTACCATTAGAATGCTATACCACCATTCCGGGAACTTTTTGACTCTCCCTCATATGTGATGGCCCTTATCAATCCATTTATTTGTGTTCTCTTATGCCTCCCTGTTGATCATTTTCTTTATAGTCCATATTGTGGTATTATGGATTATGCCTATGAAACGTGGTAAGTTGTTACAAATGTTCGTCTGAAATATTGGTACCCACATACCCAAGAGACCACTATACACATATTTACTGCTACAAAAAATGCAAAATTTCTTTACAGTGCTTGCTTATTTAAGATTACATCACTGCAAGTATATTCAAAACTATTATAGTAAGCCTTTATAAAACCAGCATGCAGAAACTCACAAGGCTGGGTATGATATAAACCCAATCTTGGGAATTATTTGCATTACCACATGTAATCCTGTTACCTTAAAATTACAATGCATGGTTTTAGGCCATTAATAAAAAATTAATTTTACTAACAAATACAATACGCCTGTAAAACTACAGTAATGGCACATGATGATCTTTAGTGTAAAATTATAATGCTGCTGAAACTAGTCACTGACAATGAAGAGTTGTAGGCTGCTGAAAATAATACAACATGAAGCCAAATTCTAAACGTCTACATCAATATTTTTCAGAAAACAATTTTGCTACCAATGAAAGATCTCTCTGCTGTTATTAAGAACCCTGAAGTCGTCCAATTTAATTTAGTGCTTAAATTGAAATATTAAGAGCAAGACTTGGAGTAAGCAGCTTATAAACAACTGACACTTATATCCCTGTGGCACGTAATAGTGGTGCCATAGTGTCGCTGTTACGTGAAGCAAATATATATATCTTATGAGTAAAAGATGCCGCATAGTGTTTGTAATGTTACACTTTGCAGCTGCAGTCTGGCGAGGTCGCAAGAATCGTTGAGAATATCGCTGGACCAGCGGTTTCAAAGGTGTAATTTTTAAGAAGGGTATTGGAGGGTTTAAACTTGTAATACCGCCTTCCTTTTGAATGACCCAATCAGAAGCAATGATGGAATATATCTGCGAGGGGGGGAGAATTAATGTCCCAAAACTCAACGATACAGTCCGAGCTTCTAAAAGAGTTCTCATTCGGTCATTCCTACAGACAGACGTGTTTCAACATATGATAATATTAAACAGTGAGTAAATGTAATGTGTGTCATTCCTACAGACAGACGTGTTTCAACATATGATAATATTAAACCGTGAGTAAATGTAATGTGTGTCATTCCTACGGACAGACGTGTTTCAACATATGATAACATATTAAACAGTGAGTAAATATAATGTGTGTCGGTGTAACATTATTACCCTTTGTCTACTCATGATCCAAGACCCGTATAACAACCCCAAGAAAGAATTTCATTGCCTACCAGAACCCCACCCAACAACAGAAACCAAAGGGAGAGCGAGCGGTAGCAACCCATTGCTCATTCTGATTAACTACATTAGCACATCACACAAGGTCCACAAGCTGACCAACTGAAGAATTTGTTAGAACAATGAGAACTGTAATTACCAGTAATACACTAATTCGCTGGTATCTGAGGTGAGACTGAGTACTGTGTAACTGAAGGGTTCATGAAAGTTGGCAACAACCTTTGTGTATGCAAGATATTTGAAACTTGTAAGATATAAAATATTTTTACTCAAAACATGACTCCAGAAAGCTTCACGTAAATATGTATTATAATCTGTTCTTTTATATATAAGTTTATAAGTCTAAGAACCGATTTAATATATTTTTTGATATACTTAGTCATACAGCAAAAATAATGAAATTAATTTCTTAATAATTGTATATCAAAACCATTTATTTTGTCTCTGACTTAGAAATGTATAAATAACATACATAGCTTTACAATAATGTAATGGCAACTCTACTGGCTTAAAATTATATTTTTCAATGTAATACTCTCTAGTCTCTGTATACAACAAATTATATGAAGTGTGTGTGTGTGTATCTGAACTTGTGAACCAGTGGTACAAACTTTGAAACCAAGCTTAAAAATTTCATCTTTGCCAGTAGCTCAATACAAGAAACCATGAACGCAACAAGTATATTTCTGTAACTATACACTGCTTTTTATTTATGAATGGATTAAACAAAAAACTCATCAATTGCTATCAATGTCATAATTCATGGGCATACATCAAAGAACACTGCTGTAAATAACATAAATTTGAATTTAATTATGTCAAGAGAAAGTAAGGTATGCCCCCCCCCCAACCCATGCTTAATTAAGAAACACACAAAGAAGACACGTGGAGGAGCAGAGGTATAGCTCCATATTTTCTAAACCTTGGCACTAGATAGAGGTCAGTGGTCATCTTTATACCCTGCCCATTTTAACCCTGATGACCTCTACTGTATGTTACTGTTATAATTCAGAACATGTCGTTTCCTTGCATTCTGAAACTTACATAATCCAACAACATTCACTAAAAATGAAGAAATAATAGCTGAGATGCTTCACACATGCATAACTGATTAACCGAAAATATATATAACAATCCACATGTACAGAGTTGCTTAACTTAATAATGAAGTAGCCAAAGGTGTAAAAATATCATGGCTATTTCATTTTCGAGTCTTTCAATATGGAACATTTGAAAACAGATACGATACAGATTCACCATTATGTGTTCTCCTAACGGCTTCTGCAAACATCATGGATACATCTATGCACTGAAACCAACATTATGAAAATGTTAAATTCAAGCAAATAACCGACACTTAAGAAAAAAGAATCTGGGCTCTAGGGGGGTGTGAGAGAACAAATGGGGATTACAAGACTTATCTTGCTGAAAATTCCTTGACATGAAAGTGCCCTGTTCCATGCACACACATACCCCCCCCCTCTCTCTCTCTCTCTCATAAGCACATGAAACTGTCATATATCCAAGAGCCCAGGGTTTAATTCCAGTAGCTTCAAATAGTGAAAATTTTTGGAAGTTGCATCAAGCAATTGTAACATCTCTGAAAAATGTGTGACTCTCAGATGGTCTACTGATAAGCTGGGCAGCAGTGAAAGAAGTTTCTTGGACTTCTCACTTTTGGGGGGAGGAGGTTCTGATTTCAACACTAATGCAATGATGCAATTCTTATTGATAGTTTGCACATAAAGATTTTCATAAATGGGGCATTTTTTAAAAAGGATTCACAGTTTATAATGTATGCTGTATTTGATTGTGAATATTTCCTTACATTTATATTCATAACTTTAAACATAAAACGTAACTATATAACAGAATTTTACCTGTATCCTGGGGCAGTCTTTCATATGTTGCTCTTGAGGTATTGTGTTTGTGACAACAACTGCTTCGAAGCATGCGTTATTGATCCTTGAAATAGCAGGCCCAGAGAAAATACCATGTGTCAAAATAGCATACACCTTTGTGGCTCCTGCTTCAAGTAATCTGACAGAAAGAGAGAAGATTTCTGTTCACAGAGTAGGGGAACAATAAGCATACGTTGGGACTCACACAAATTCATATCTTTTAAAAATGTGGTCAAGTAACTATTCCTCCTTGTCAAGTATGTAAGACATGAATTTTTAAATTTATACTCAAATATACAAGCATCTTACTAATGACAATTTTGACTCTTAAATTTAATAATGTTGTACATGTGTCATATGTGAATGAAATATAAACACATTCTTTACGGCGAAAATCCTTAAAATGGCAATTTATTTTGTATCTATTATAAAATGCAACAGTCCACTCATAGTCTATGTTATGATGTTATAAACATCATCTTTCATCAATACATTTTTACTTATGTTTATTTAATTTCATAGTAAAAAGTTATATAGCCCACTGTCCATTTCATGAAATGCACTTCAGCTGCAAGGATATCACTGCCCTTGCCACAGACTGGTAAGCAAACAATTGGTAGGATTTCCAGTCTGACATATAAAATTGCAGAGATTCTGCACTAGAGATTATCTAGAATGAATGTGTTTTAAAAATGTAAATTGGTGAAAGAAAAATATTTCATTACAACTACTACATTACTTCTAGGATTATTTCTGTACTGCTTTTAGGAAAGAGATCAGAACTTGTTATAATTGTCTCTGGCAATTGTTTCCTGTCCAAGTGTTGTGGTATAAAAGGCAGAACTGCTTTATGGATGTCTATGCCATTCAATGATTTTGATCATCTTCAGCACTCTATTCTGTATATTTATAAACTGCATCTCCAATATTGTGGAAAGGGATGTTATCAATGCATACAATGTGCAATTCCATGTATGTGTATTAGTCTCCAACATAATATACAGCAGCACATATTCAACCACTAATGTTTATTTAATATCTGCAGCACAGTCTAGGAGACAGCACATGTGCATGCGAGTGTGTGTGCACTCATGCACACAAGAAAGGGAAAGAATAAAGTACATACTTTTCAGCTGCATGGCAAATTGTGCCACATGTATCAGCCATATCGTCTACCAATATTGCCACCCGATCCTTAACATCGCCCACCAAGACCATAGATGCCACTTCATTAGCTTTCTTGCGTTCTTTGTGGATCAACGCAAACTCAACATTAAGTCGATCTGCTATTGATGTTACTCTACAAGAAAACACAGAATAATAAATGCTGCATAATGAATTATATATGACAGATAATGCAGCAGAAAATTGCAGTTAATATTCGGTACACAGCAGAGGAAAAGTTCAATAATACTTGAAAAAACATTATTTATTTATACTTAAAAAACAATTATGTAGAGTATTTTCCCAGTTTAACCTAAGTGACAGGTATGATTCATCAATACAATACATGAAATTAAATTAACTAAATTAAGTTAGGTACCAAGTCTATTAACTACACTGGTCTCAAAATTCAGCACACCTCTTATTGTACCCTTATTATATGTGGAATCTATTACAAACAGCTCATAACCAGTAAGTGACAATTAGATTAACACAACTATACTTCTCTAGGCCTTTAATTTTAGCCCTTTGCACAATATGTAGTGACTTGATTGCCTTGGGCTATTTGCATTTTAATCCCCACAGCCGATGAGATTGGCTGACTGTTAATCTGTTAGTATAGCATTTCTGTTAGTAGATGGCATCATGTGTAACATACCAATGTTAGAGTAAAGAATGAGCTTTCACATAAAATATTTTTACTGTTAATTTTTATTATATTTGTCTTATATTTAAAGCTTTCATTTCATGTTCAGACAGCTGTGTGGTATTCGCCACACTGTCACACTGCATTCACTTGCTTATGCTGTCAGCATAACAATGTGTCAGCCTTCATCCACCAACCCTGAACACTGCACCCAACAGACACAAAAGAAAACAGCAACACAGATGCACCAATTTCTTCAGCCTCTGAGGATGGGAAACTTGGATTTTAAACATTAACTTCAACTTTGAATTCCTATTTTAATCAAATCTTTATTCACAATGCACCAACTTACAGCAACATACAGATGTAGATAATGATGGCCATGGGTGACCAAAACATGTTGTACTAACAGCATAAAAAGAAGAATGTGACTGTGTGTGTGTGTGTGTGTGTGGGGGGGGGGACACAGCTACCAAAATATAGAAGTTGCAAAAATAAGACTGAGGGATGATAATAAATTAATTAATCAATGCAAAAGAATGATCAAGTACAACTGCATTTACCACCAAGCAGTCATAGCACTTCTAGCAGGTAGTTCTATGGAGGGGCTGCACAGTCAAAGGGTTAAAGGGTGAGTTAATACTCAACATACCTCTTTGCACCACCTGCATCTGGTGATACAATGATACTGTTTCGCCACTCAATGATGTTTTCCTTAATCCACTTTAAAACTGCTGGTTCAGCATACAGGTTGTCTACAGGTATATCAAAGAAACCCTGGATCTGCGATGCATGTAAGTCCATTGTGATAATATGATCAGCGCCAGCAACCGAAAGCATATTGGCAACTAGTTTGGCTGAGATGGGAGCTCGGCTCTGTCAAACAGAAATACAAGATACACACTACATTACACAATAGCACAGCAAGGTCCATTTGCAACGCTACTCACAAAATAAGCCAAATATGCTTAGCTATCCCGACTGGCCCTCCTTGCAGGAAATAATATAATAGGCATTTGCAAGAATGACTTTTCAGTTTGAAATGAGAATTTCAAAATGTTCCAAGAATCAATAGAAGAATAAGAATTTCCTCTATTTGACAAACTGTTTGCTGTAATCATAATAACATTTCAAAATGAAGTTAAGGTGTACTATCTGTTATGACGTCAGAACATTTTTGAAAGAGATATTTCCACAAATCTTAATTATTTAAAAATTTAGGTTTTGGTTCCATGCTTTTTCAACATGGACAGAAAGAGGAAAAGAAAGACAGATTCTGCTGAGATGCTGATTCATGTCAGCATTGCCAAACATTATGACTATCATGGACTGAGTAATCTGTGTTCTACAGTGCAAAGCAAACGCATTATCTGAATATTCTTAAAGTCTGAGACTGCAGACCAATGTTAAAATCGAGATATTTTTTGTGTTTCATCTAAAATATTTGAGACTTGTACATGCCTACAATATAGGATAGAGGTAAAAGGAAAAAAGGCAGCTGGAGAACCAAAGACAACAAAGGAGGGTGTACATAATATAAAGGCATTACTGCCACATAAACAGCAGCAAAGAAGAAAAAATTACATTAATACATGGATAAAAAAGTGCAAAAAATAATGAAGTGTTGCAAATGCACCCTGGTTAGTTCAATATATGAGTAAAAGCAGAATTCAAACAGAGAAAACAGACACTAAGAACACAAAATGCTAGACAATCTCATACTCCATTCGTATATTTTCACTAATTATATTTACTAAAACCTTAATGCACACAAATACCCAGGATTAGTAATTTCAAAAACAGTCGTTACAAACATTACTGCAGACAGTAGGCTACTCCATCTATGTTAATGTTAGGCAATGCAGAGAAACATGTCAGCATCTTTTCCATTTACTGCATAAGAGACCAACACTAAAGAAATCTGGTGGACCCTAATTTGTAAAAGATAACACCAAGGCACATATTTTGTTTTCTAATTTTTAAATGATATTTTAGGAAGTCATATAAACATTATTCCAGAAGGACTAAATTCAGTCTCTAATAAACAACACAAAAATTAAGGCATGTTTTGCCTACTTTCTTTTCTTAGGGAAAGAAAGTAGGCCTATGAAATCACCATGAAATGAGAGAGAGAGAGAGAGAACACGTGTATGTGTATGTGAACACCTGAATGTCCCCTTTCCAACTTCTGCAACATTTGACCAATTTTCATTAATATTTAATGAATTTTATGCCACCAGAGGCTGCCCCAGTGCTGTAATCCTGACTTACGAATAAAAATCTTGCTACACGGTTTAGGTTCCTGCCATTATGCATGGTACTTGAGCTTTGTAAAAATATGTGCCCTTTTAAGGTCCATTTTTTGTATAATTAATAAAAATATGGTGGCCCTGAACAAATTTTCTTTTCCATTTGGTTTGATTGCTATAACTGATGGACCACTGGAGCTAGGGATGTGAAATTTGTTATGGGTACACGTCACAGATGCTGCCACATATTACATATGAAATATCATGGCAAAGAACTTTTGAAGTTATGCCTCATAAATTTAAGGCACAATGAATTTGTATATAAGCAGTAAGTTCTTCACAAAAATAAAATAACAATAATGACAGCAACATATCTGTAGGATGAGAAATTTATAGAAGCGCAAAACATGATTTATGAATTGTGCTTGGAATTCTGCAAATATTCAATAGTCTACCCCATTATATGGTTATTTTATACAGCTACCTTTATCAATCATTTCCTGTAACACTAATACGAGAGCTAAAAGAATCTTCATGCTTACTGTACATACACACTAATGAAATGCTAGTGCAACCTGAAATAACTCATATTCTAGTTGGCAAGAAAAGTGTATTAATGTTCGCTGATATGTATGAATGGTCACAGAATATATTTTCCCATCTGTTAACCAGAATTCGCTTTTATACATTGTTAACACCTTTTTAGAATGCAGGAGCAGAAACCTTGAAGGAAGTTAATGCTACATAAAGCAGAGGGTATTTGACGAGTAGACAGACCTGCTATCGGGTGGCTGGGTTCAGTTGAATAAGATCTGAAGACACTAGGCATTAGAAATTGGAGATTAAAGTCATGACATTGGGATCAATAGCAAGAAATCATAAAAGAGGCCAAGGTTCATCATGAACTGTATCGCCAGAAGAAGAAGAATGTAATTCAGGTTTCTAAAATATCATGCAGTTGCGGTTTAGATAAGTAACTACAAGAGAATATACAGGGACAAATGGTAAGCTGCATCATCAAAATCTGAAATAAGATGTGCCTCAGTACAATAACATTCATTTGGGCCACAATGATGGGAAGTTATCTTGTGAAAATGCAGGGAAATAAACATATTTATCATTAATTCAACACATGAATATTTTTCAATGATCAATGTGCAAATAACTGATGGCAGCATATGGATTTGTGAAATAATTCCAAATTGTAAAGAAGAGAAATCTTAAAACTAAATTAATTAGTGAAAAAAAAACTGTCAAATCCTACAAATGCAAAGCTATTTTTGGAGACTTGAAGGATGTGTGAACGTCTTGTGAAGTAGAGTTTGACAAAAATAAGTCTAAATGCAATGAAATGAAATTCCAAGACATATCAATCTACATAAGAATTCTGTGACTGCAAAAATTTCTGGGCAACAAGGACCTGAAAATGGTGCCCAGCATGTCAGAAATTACTTTGAGATCCCTGCACCTCCAAAAGGGATGACACTAAGAATCTAATATAAAATGTAATTTACTGGGCTTAGCATGTTAACAACTTTTTACCAAGTTTCAATAAAATCTATGAGTGATGAGCAAAAAATAGTTTTTCACTTTTAGGCTCTGACTCTGTACAGAGAAAAATTTCAATGCACAGTCCTTGTCCTCTATATATACAATGCATGTGTGTTATAAGTACATGCATGCACACAGCCCTTTCACATTTTCCTGACTGCAATTTCAGGGCAATACAGTAAAATATCAACTGTGGGGCTGAGAAGCTCTTGCCAGTAGTCACAGAGTTAGTGGTTTTGATTTAAAATGCAGCAGGAATGGGCTCACGTCAGAGGAAGAGTGAGAAAGGGGGTAAAGTAAGGTTGTCTCTGTACTTAACTAATTAAGCACTATGCCATGAAGATGTATGGGGGACTAGATGTAGAGAGCCAAGTGTTCTTGAACTCAGCACTAGTTGGAGGTGAGTGGTCAGCTTCAAATCCCGGTCACTTTACCCCCACGGATAGAGCCCATCATAGCCATTGGATAGGGGACTGGGTGGGCCCCAGAACTGGCCTGGATGACATGAAGAGGAGAAAAATCTTGCCCCTGATGGGACTCAAACTCCGATCTCTTGACTCGAAGTGAGTGAGGGGTACTAGAGTTTAAAGAGGGAAAGAAAATGCAAACGATAGTCAGAAGGCAGGCCATCAGCTCAGCTGAATGCTATCAAAACTGATATTTTAATATCTGTGAAGTCTGATGACACACTGGTTTGAATTCCGTATTCTTTTCTGCAACATAGTTTCAAGAAGACATACAAGAACTGTGCTGTGTGACTCCAATTTTGGGACTCGTGGGGTGAGAAAGTGGGATGGAGGAAGGGACAAAAAGAGGGGAGGGATCAAACCCACAAATCCATGCTGTTGATGCACCTTTAATGCTCTGTGCTTTTTGCATTCTTCACTAGTCTCAAGATCTGAGTCTCATACAGCTTAAGACATCCAACAGCATACAATACCCACTTCCTCAAAAAGCAATTATCTACTGTTTCTCTCTATATAACTACGCTATTATAAAGAGGTAAATCTGTCCCTGTGCTTAATTAATTAAGCACCACAACATGAAGATGCACGAGGGAGTGGAGATATAGCTCCATCTTTCTTGATCTTGTCATTAGACAGGAGTGGTCAGCTTCATACCCCTACTGCTTTAACCCTGTGGAAAGAGCTCCCCACTGTCCATTGAATAGGAGGCTGGGTGGGTCCCAGAGTTGGTCTGGATGCTATGGAGAACAGAGAAATCTTTCCCTTGCCGGAAATCAAACCTTGACCGTCCAGCCCATTGCCGTTGCTATACTGACTGAGCTATCCCAACTATGCTATTTCCTTCTCTAAACTGTTTTTTTGTAATATGTATGGTTCTTCATAGAATTTTTCTGACTGCTTACTGTCATGATCATGATCTAAATACTGCAGTATGTTCTATGATCACAATCCATGGACAGACGAATTAGTGTGCATTATTGCAGCTAGCATTGCATATTCAAACTTTCTTTTCTCTATTATTTAAATTTAAGATATGTGGGTCACTGCCCTACAGTATTCAATTCTTGTGGTGCAACTGCCACCTCAGCCTTCAGACTGACAAGCTTAGCCTGACCTCCCTCCCTCAGCCTTATCAACAGGGGTCACCATGTTAGGAGCCAGAGATCCAGCTGACATCTCTCTCGGGTTCACCGAAGCACACAAATTCCCCTGCCACATCATGTATATAATGAAATGGAAGTACCACGTCTATTTCATAAAATATGAAGTGATCACTCACTCACGGGGCTGAGTCATTTTTGAGAAGCCGCCAATTTGGCAGCTACTCAAGAAAATCCCAGCATTGTAAGGAACCCAAAGGTTCATTACAGCGTTCAGAAGGGCCCTCCACTAGTCCCTATCTTCAGTCAGATCAATCCAATCCATACAATCCTATCTTTCTAAGATCCATTTTAATATTGTTCATCCACCTACGCCTTGGTCTTCCCAGTGGTCTCTTTCCTCGTGGCTTTCCCGCCAATATCCTATATGCATTCTGATTCTCCCCAATTCATACTACATGCCCTGCCCATCACATTCTCCTTAAATTGATCGTTCTAATTATACCTGG